GAAGGAAGGAAGGAAGGAAGGAAGGAAGGAAGGAAGGAAGGAAGGAAAAATAAAAGACAGGTGATAGTAAGTGTTGAAGATGATGTAGAGAAACTGGAACCTTTATATATTGCTAGTAGAAATACAAGTGATAGGCCAGCAATATATGAAGGTATACCACTTGTGTTCCTACCAGCAATATATGAAGGTTCCAGTTTCATATAGGTCAGTATCTTATAAAATTAAACATGTGCTTAAATAGGACCCAGCAATCCTACCCCTAGGTATTTACCTAAGGAAAATGAAAACTACGCCCACACAGAGATTTGCATGTAATGCAGCATTATTCATAATGTGCCAGCACTGGAAACAGCATGAGTACCTGTGGATGAATCAACCAGTATATCCATACTGAGGAATACTACTCAACAATCAAAATGAAAAAAAAAAATTAATACATGCAACAACATGAATGAACCCCAAAAACATTCTGCTAAGTGAAGGAAATGAAGCACTCACAAAAAACTACATACTTCTATAAAAGACAAAATGATAGTGTCAAAACAGATCTGTAATTTTTGGGTCTGGTGACCAGGGAAGTGGCTCAACTAGAAAGAAGAATGAGAAAACTTTTCAGGGTAAATGGAACTGCTAAATATCTTCATTGTGGTGGTGGTTAAAATGGCTATATATAATTACCAACATTCATCAAACTGTACAATTAAAATAGGTGAATTTTATTGCATATAAATTATATCTCAATAAAGCTGGAAACAAAAGAAGTGCCTTCAAATCAACTACTCTTAGACTGTCCGTGATTAGATGACATTAAAAGGTATCTTGTCAGAGGACACAGTGACTCAAGCCTGTAATCCCAGCACTTTGGGGGACCAAGGTGGGCGGATAATGAGGTCACGCGTTTAAGACCTGCCTGGCCAACATGGTGAAACCCCGTCTCTACTAAAAATACAAAAATTAGCCAGGTGTGGTGGCATGCACCTGTAATCCCAGCTACTCAGGAGGCTGAGGCAGGAGAATCGCTTGAACCCGGGAGGCAGAGGTTGCAGTGAGCCGAGACTGCACCACTGCACTCCAGCCTGGGTGATAGAGCGAGACTCCACCTCAAAAGAAAAAAAGGTATCTTGTCCAACTCCACTGTTACAGGTTGAATTCTGTCTGCCCAGAAAAAGATAAGTTGAAGTCCTAACTCCCAGTACCTCAGAATGGGACCTTATTTGGAAAAAGGTCTGTACAGAAGTAATCAAGTTAAAATGTGGTCATTAGGGTGGGCCCTAATCCAGTGTGACTGGTGTCCTTATGAAAAAGGGAAACCTGGACACAGTGGCATACACACACAGGCAGACACAGAGGGAGAGCTCCACGGGATGGCAAAAGCAGAGACTGGAGTGCTGCATCTAGAGGCCAAGGGAAGCTTGAGGCTATCAGAAGCTGGGGGAGGAGATGGAACAGTTCATTCCTCAGCACCTTCAGAGGGAGTATGGCCTTGCCAATACCTTGATTTTAGACTTCTAGCCTCCAGAGCTGTAAGACAATAGATTTCGGTCATTGTTAGCCACCTAGTTGACGGTGCTTAGGAAACTAGTACACACCCATTTGATACTAATCAGGCAGACCAGGGGTCCCCAAGCCCCGGGCCACGGACCTGTATGGATCCACGGCTTGTTAGGAACTGGGCCGGACAGCAGGAGGTGAGTGCTCCACCTCCTATCAGATCAGCAGCAGCATTCGATTCTCATAGGAGCGCGAACCCAAATGTGAACCGCGCACGTGACAGATCTAGGTTATGAGAATCTAACTCATGACTGATGATCTGAGGAGGAGCAGTTTCATCCTGAATCCATCCCCCAACCAGGTCCATGGAAAAATTGTCTTCTACAAAACCAGTCCATGATGCCAAAAAGGTTGGGGACCGCTGCTGTAGACCAACTAACCACAATGTCCAGTTTCATGAGGAATCTCTCTGAGATGAGAACAAACACTACAAACAATCAAAAACATACACAGCAACCCAGAAGAAGCAAGTTTTTTCTTCTAAGTTGGCTAGTAAATGCCAGCTTCTTCCTGGCACAAAGCAAGAGTCACCTGGAAGTAATTTTAATTTTCATCAGAAACATTTTATAAACATAAATAGATCATCACTGTATTTAAAGTGCATATACTCCTATTCCTTCACTCCAACATTCAAAATAGGCTGGCAGGAAACCCAAGAAATAGGTGGCTACAATGTTCTCAATTTCAAAAAGCAGTGTGCATACAGAGTCAATGAAAACAATGGACTATGGGGTGTGGGAAGGTGGAGGGGACGACAAAGACATACCTGTCTGTAATGAAATGGGAATGAGTTCACTTCCCCACAGGCTAATGCCAGCCTCCCATGCAAAGTTATTAAACAAAATCATACAAAATTATTGATTTTACTCAATCCTCTTGAAGTTAAGACTTTGAAAATAATTTTGTGTTGATATAAAGTTCTCCCTACATATGGAAATCTTGCTTTCAGTTTACCAAGAGAAGCTTTTTTGCGTCTGTCTCCCCAACCCCCTCAGCAGATTCTGTTTCTCTATTATCATTAACATTGACATAGTAGCCACTAAATATAGGATTGGCACATGCAATCAACCTACCTCTTGTGATGGAGGCAGGGCCCCCTCACAGGTGACACAGTATCTCAGGTGAGCAGGATTTCCTGTACCACAGGCCCGGCAAATTACCTTCTCCTTAACAACAAAACATAAGAAATACATGTTCCTCTGAGCAAACAACTGTGCAAAGAAATCATCAAGCAGTCTTTTCTGTCAGTCATTCAGCTACAGGCCCTATTATTGCACCCAGGCCCTGAACATTAGATTGGTTTAGGAGTTACTGTAAATAGTGTCAGACAAATATCTGTAGGGTTTTTTTGTTTGTTTGTTTTCTTTCATTTGTTTTTGTAGAGATAGGATCTGACTGTGTTGCCCAGTCTGGTGTCCAGCTCCTGGCCTCAAGTGATCCTCCCACTTTAGCCCCCTAAAGTGCTGGAATTATAGGTGTGAGCCACCATGCCCAGCCTGAATGTAGTTTTAAAAGAAACAAAACTACCAACAAGGAAATACTGAAAAGAGTATTCGTTTGGTCTTCAAAAGGTAAGTTGGAAATTCTGCACTGGTTATATGTAAGGTTGGGTGTGTGTGTGTGTGTTTCTCCAGTGTGAAAACCATGACACTGAGTAGACGTTCCATTTCACAGCTTAAACAGTAAACAGAAAGACCCTAGACCAGCAAGGGATTATCTGTGTGTTTACAAGTAATCTGGTTCTTGGACTGGGGTTTACCTTCTGGGGCTTCATGTTAAATATGAATTTTAGGTTTGCTCTGTAGTTTTTACTTAGAAATGGAAGAAGTGAAAAGACTGCCAAAGAAAGACAGTGGTAAGTACAACTTCCTTTTTTTTTTTTTTTTTTTTGAGACAGAGTCTCACTCTGTTGCCCAGGCTGGTGTGCAGTGGCGTGATCTCAGCTCACTGCAACCTCTACCTCCCGGGTTCAAGTGATTCCTCTGCCTCAGCCTCCCAAGTAGCTGGGACTACAGGCGCATGCCACCATGCCTGGCTAATTTTTGAATTTTTAGTAGAGATGAGGTTTCACCATATTGATCAGGCTGGTCTCGAACTCCTGACCTTGTGTTCTGCCCACGTCAGCCTCCCAAAGCGCTGGGATTACAGGCGTGAGCCACCATGCCTGGCCGTAAGTACAACTTTCTAAGACAGGACCTTGGGGTTAAGTTGCAACACAGAGAAAAACAAAAGACAAAGAAATGATGGTAAAAATAGTCTACAGCTCAGCTTTCAGAGGTTTTCTAACACGTTACTGACCACTCTATTCTCTCAGGATACAATCTTTTTCCATTGTCAATGACCAGTGGTGCTCAAGTGTTCCTTTCCAGTCCAGCGCTGTGGTCCCTAGGTGTCCCGAAACTAGTATATCCAACAGTGTGTTCAGAAGCTGGCACAGGTAAAGTGGATGATCAAGAAAAAGAAAGCCCAACTCCAGGGGGTTTATTTCCAATACCACCAGGTAGCTCTATGGAGTCCCAGCCTGTCAAAGTCTGGTTAACTCCATTTTAGTGGAGGATTCCAAAGTTTTCCTAGGAACTGAGCCAATGTACCACAGTTGCCAATCTAAACGACTCCTAAAGGGCAGAGGCCAACTGACTGCTATTCGAAATGGTAGAGAATCACAGTCTTGCTCTCAGTGGTTCCTGACACTCCCTGGGGGCCAACATTCTTCAAAGTTACTTAAAGTTGCCACAGCATAATCAGCAATTGGCCAGCATTTATCTATGAGATTTAGTGCTGTGACTTTCCTGAAGATGTTGCCTCAGGAAAGATCTGGTGAAACCCATTGAGAAATGAGACAAATTTCCTGTCTCCATGTTAAAAAACACTGAGATCAAATAAAAGTAGTCTTGCTGTGTGCTGCAGAAAATACTTCCTCTAGGAAGAGAAAACTGGAGACAACGAAAACTGCTTACTTCTCAAGTCCAACAGCTTCCTTCAAGACCTCACCTTGGGGGGCTCATAATCCAAAACTGCTTATCACAACTTTGCCCAGTGCATACTCTGTCCAATCCCCGCCCCGCCTTGCAAAACTCTGTTTTTTAAAATTTTAATAAACTTTAAACTTTATTTTTAGAACAGTTTAAGGTTCACAGCAAAATTGAGTGGAAATTACAGAAGATTCTCGTATACCCTGTCCCATTCCACAGACACGGTCTCCCCCACGCTATGGACATCCCACACCCAAGTGGTACATTTTTCACAATCAATGAACATCATTGACACATCATTATCACCCACAGCCTATGGTTGACATTAGGGTCCAGCACTAACTCCCTTTAAATACCTTGTCCTGACTTCCTTCTTCTGAGATACTACTACGAACTTGTCTAAGTGATGGTCTACCTTACTGCATCAGGTCTATTAAACATAGTTTTCTTGGTTGATGGGTTTTTCTATGTGTTGGTTTTTTTGTTGTTGTTTTTTTTTTTGTGGAGACTTTTGACACCATGCCATGGCTCACTTCTTTCTAGAGCAGTGACCATGACCCACAGTTAGAAATCATTTTATATCACAATCCACTACACTCATAAATTCACAGATGTCTGTGGAGGTGATTTGGAATTGAGGCCACCATCAGATGGCCTTAATGGGGATGGCAAACACCTATGATGAGCACTTTTAAAAAGTCAATATCCTCATTTGCCATTTCATCCACAGACTTTGCAACATACTGTCTAGTTGAAAGATTCTAAGCTATTTAACAGAGCCGCTTAGTCACTGGAATAAAACTTTTCCTTTTAAAGTAGTTGGAAGAGGAGAACAATTTTCAGACTCCCAAGTGATAAGCTTTAATTGACACAATTAAAAAGGAAGAATATTGAAAACGAACTAGTAGGTCATTGCAAACTTAATCTCAAAACTGACTACACTGAAGTTCTGCTTGATGTGGAGCTGTGGTTACACTGGCCTTAACCCCAAATCACAGTGTGAGAGGCTGGCACTCACTGAAGGCACCTGTGCCTCAGGCACAGGAATCATCAGATCTTTTCAGGATGATCCCAGACCTAAGCCTCACAAATTCTAAGAACCACAAACATGACTGAAGTCCTGGAGGTACATTGTATGTTGCTCATAAAATCCCAAAGGAAACTGTAGTAGCTCTTCTTGATAAATGCCTTGAGTTAACATCTTCTGGTGAACAGGGATGCAAAAATTAGTTTCAACTTTAGAAAACGGCCAATGGAGGCCAGGTGCGGTGGCTCACGCCTGTAATCCCAGAACCTTGGGAGGCCAAGGTGGGAGGATCATGTGAGCCCAGGAGTTCCAGACCAGCCTGGGCAACAAGGCGAAACCCCATCTCTACAAAAAATAAAAAAATTAGCCTGGTGTGGTGGCATATGCCTGTGGTCCCAGCTACTTGGGGGCCTGAGGTAAGAGGATCACTTGATCCCAGGAGGTCAGGCTGCAATGAGCCATGATCGTGCCACTGCACTCCAGCCTAGACGACAGAGTGAGACCTTGTCTCAAAAAAAAAAATAATAAAAATAAAAAAAGAAAATGGCCAATAGATGCATTTGTTAAGTGAAATAAATAAGTTGCGAGGAAAAGTATATAACATGATTTCATTTTGTTTAGAAAACAAAACCAAACCAAATCTAAATGTATGAATATACATAAACATGTTTCTGTGAATCTAGAAAAATACATAAAAGGACACTCTAAGCTGCTAACGCTGGTTATTTCAGAGAAATAGAAATGGAGGTAGAGTGAAGAAATTATACACTTTTTGGTATATCTTTGGATTATTTGTTACCAAAAATTAGGTATTAATTATTTTAAAGAAGTAAGTTGTAAAATCCTCTCTTCTTCTGAAATAGGTGTCTTTGCCAGAGGTCAAATACAGAAACTTCTGCTACTGTATGTTCTAATCCTGGCAGAAAAAAAAAAAAAATTCTGATAGAGCAAAATTCTTCAGCATTGACAGCGCCTTAAATGCACACAAGACAAGACTGCAACTGCAACTGCCATGGAATCTGTCTTCATCACAGAAGGAAGAGCGCCAATTGTGCTTGTGTGCTCAGTGGAGTGAGCTAGAGACCAACGAAGAAAGGGGACGGGAGCTGTCAATGGCATGCTGCCACCTGCCGGGAGGTAAGGCTTGCTGGCTTCCCTGAGCAGTTCACATGAGTATTCCCACCAACTTCAGAGGTGGCTGTCTGGGTGAGAATGTTATCTCAAAACCTGTCACCCTTATGACATCTGGGAGAGGCACTGGAATGAAGATTGTCAGGCCGGGGTTTCCAAACAGATGTCCTTCTGTGAGTAGAAGCAGTAATAGTGATTGGCATAAAAAGTCACACACTTCTCTCCAGGATCAGAGGTTATGGTGATGAAAGTCTCTCTACAAATCAAGTCTGGTTAAAACTTGTCCCCACTTTCAACCTTCAGGGCCCACAGGGAGAAATCTGAGCTACTAAGTCTGGTAGAGAAGGTGCCATCTCCCATAACCCACAGCACCCCAGCATTGTTGCAGCCCAGCAAAACCAAACTCCTTGCAAAGTTTTGAGGCACATTTTCTAAATCTCATCTTTGAATTCATTATTGATTTCCTCATTATATGTTCTAACTTTGGCCCACCTATGGAGTAGAAATAAGTTATAAAATTATTCCTATTATAACTTATTATAAGTTATAAAAATCTCTCTTATAAAAATTGCCCTGCAAGAAAGAGGCTGTTCCTGGATTTGATGCTACCTATCACTGCAGAAGTCCTGTGTTTATTCTCAGTATAGGATTTACAACAAACTGACGGGAAAAATTACTTACATGTACCTTTGTGTCTCTCTGCCTTCCCATAAAATGGGAAGAACTCTAGATTTCAAATACTGAAGATGATATTATATATATTGAGTTTGGGTCACAACTAACACTTACCCCTATTCTTCCTGTTCTGAATAGTCCAAAGAGTTTGCAGTGATATTATCTTCAAACATCCTGAATAAATGTATTAATAAGAATAGATTTGCTGTGATTGACAGAACACCCAAAATAACACAGGCTTAAATAAACAAGAGAAAAATAGATTTCTCTCTCCCATATATAAGAGGTCTGGAGACAGACTTCCAGGGCTGTATAGTGGCTTCCTGCAGCATCTTAAAGCATCTTAAGATTGAAAATAGTCATTGAACAAAAAGATTGGTAAATTTTCCTCTACCTGACTTTGGCCTGGCCAGTTTTTCAAAAATCTCATTTCTGAAGGCTCACACAGTCTTGGACACTTGTGAACTCTTCATGCTAAAGGCAGCTTGAAGGTGGAAGAAAAAGTGGACTTATCTTTTCTCTGAATACATTTTGCCCATATACAACCCACAGGCCATTTTAGGAGTGTTATGGCCTGTATATAATGCCATGCATTTCCCTTATTGCTAAAAATTCTTGGTTTTTTAATCCCCCAAATTCCCTTTATTAAATCTATTTTATCCTCCAGTGACCTTTACTTGGGATTAAAGAGGAGGTAAATGGGACTGTAAATTGAAGGATGGAGAAAAGATTTAGTTGTATGTTTAATGATTATATGAAAAAATTTTTCACAGTATGATATCATCTTTCTAGCAAAGTTTTTGGATGTAAGTGATGATACATAACTTTTTCCTCCATGTGACTAGTTCCAGTCATTCTTTTTCTCCATAATAAGAACCTATAATTAAATAAAGCAAACAAAAGTCTGAAGTCACTTTAAGGACAAAATTATAAATCAATACTAATTGCAATGTTGGAGTTTAAATATATGAAGTAAAAAATTGTCTACATTAGCTGTAGTGCAATTTGCCCTCCAAATCCTTATTCAGGGAATACAATCCTACGTATCTCTCTTAATATTATAGATCCTATTGGCAAGTTAAACTCCTGGACAGCATACCTTACCAAAAATGAGAATGGATTTTGTTCACGTATATTAGCTTATCAAGTGTTACCCCATCCTGGTGGGCACGGTGGCTCAATCCAGCACTTTGGGAGGCTGAGGTGGGTGGATCACCTGAGGTCAGGAGTTTGAGACCAGCCTGGCCAAGATGAAGAAACCCCGTGTCTACTAAAAATATAAAAATTAGCCAGGCGTGGTGGTGCATGCCTATAGTCTCAGGTACTCAGGAGGCTAAGGCAGGAGAATCACTTGAACCGAGGAGGCAGAGGTTGCAGTGAGCTGAGATCATGCTACTGCACTCCAGCCTGGGTGACAGAGCAAGACTCTGTCTCAAAAAAAAAAAAAAAAAAAAAAAAATTGTTACCCCATCCCACCAGCTGAAAAAGGACATATACCTGTTCAAACATTACTATGTATTTCATTCATGTTTTTACAGAATCACACTTCATTACCTTCAAGTGGAGGCTTGCCTGTGGCTGCAGCTGTAGAGCAAGAGGGGCCTCACACACCACACAGATGGGAGTGTTCATGGGCACCAAGCTTCTGCATTCTGCACATAAGCCCATCTGCATAAGGAAAAGGTCCGGTTTATCTTGCATGTAAAAACCGAAGGTATGAATAGATCTTAGAATGTAAGGTTTGTCTACGGCCATACCACCCTGAACATTCCCAATCTCATCTGATCTCAAAACCTAGGCAGGTCAGCCTTGGTTAGTACTTGGTGGAAGAATGTAAAGTTTGATTTGTTTTTGTAAAACAATTTTTAAATAATTACCTTTATGATAGATATGCCAATTACTCTGATTTGACCACTACACATGATTTGTATCAAATAACACTATGTAACTCATAAATATGTACAATTATTATGTGTTGATTAAAAAGTAAATAATAGAAAGCAAAATAACAATAATTACATTTCTTATTATTTTATTCCTAATAAGAGTAAAAACATGTTCAGTGTAGAAAAGAGAGATGTTGAAAAAAAAGAAAAATATCCATAGGAAATTAATTTATAGCATGATGGAATAAGGAGGTCTATAAATACTCTTCCCCAAAAGGAATCACAGGCCAGGCATGGTGGCTCACGCCTGTAATCCCAACACTTTGGGAGGCCGAGGTGGGTGGGTCATCTGAGGTCAGGAGTTCGAGACCAGCCTGGCCAACATAGTGAAACCCCAGCTCTACTAAAAATACAAAAATTAGCCAGGCGTAGTGGTGGGCGCCTATGATCCCAGCTACTTGGGAAGCTGAGGCAAGAGAATCGCTTGAAGCCGGGAGGCAGAGGTTGCAGTGAGCCGAGATCGCGTCACTGCACTCCAGCCTGGGTGACAAGAGTGAGGCTCCTGCTCAAAAAAAAAAAAAAAAAAAATCACACAGTCAGACAATGCTGTCAAAAAGCAACCACTTCAGCACCCTAAAAGTCATTGAAAGGCAGATAACAAACTAAGAAGTTCCTGAAAATGACTGAACTGCAGAAAAGAACACAAAGCTCTGGGTGGTTGTTGCGTGGGCTGCCCCCCCGCCCCCGCCAATTCTGTCAGTATGGTAGCTCCACCAGGGCAGGGCAGGCTGTGAAAACAAGTTTTGTGGCTGCTGATGGGCAGGGATCACTTGATTTGGAGCACTGTTAAGGTGACGATTTTGGTGGCAAGCAAACAAGGAAGACGAGTGGTGCCCTAGTCTGAGATAATGAGCCTGTTTGGGGTAATCGATGCACCGACTGGCAAACTGGCCAAGGATTTAACATGGAGTTCCAGGATGTAATTCAATGATAGGGGCTTGATAGCTCTCCATATAGCCTTAGCCAACTGGAGGCTATGCACATAAGCAGTATAAACCAGAGTAGGCCCAAGTCACCCACACAGCCCTGGCTGATGGGAATTGCACATAGAGAACTGCAAGAGAGCTCGGCATAGAGTAAAAGCTGGGACTGGAAAACAGCCTCAAGTTTGAATGTACCCAGCCAACATACAGATCCATCAGCAGGGAGTGGAGGCCTTCCTGGATGGAGCTGCCTGCGTACAATCTCTGGCCAATTGAACACTAAGATATCTGACCCAAAGGTGACATCAGGCTTAACTATAAGAGAAAGAAAAAGCTGCTGCTCTACTATTTACAATAGCAAAGTCTTGGAACCAACCCAAATGCCCATCAATGATAGACTGGATAAAGAAAATGTGGCACATATGCACCATGGAACACTATGCAGCCATAAAAAAAGAATGAGTTCATGTCCATTGCAGGGACATGGATGAAGCTGGAAGCCATCATTCTCAGCAAACTAACACAGGAACAGAAAACCAAACACTGCATGTTTTCACTCATAAGTGGGAGTTGAACAATGAGAACACATGGACACAGGGAGGGGAACATCACACACTGGGGTCTGTTGGGGGGTGGGGGGCAAGAGGAGGAAGAGCATTAGGACAAATATCTAATGCATGCGGGGCTTAAAATCTAGACGATGGGTTGATGGGTGCAGCAAACCACCACGGCACATGCATACCTGTGTACAAACCTGCATGTTCTGTACATGTATCTCATTAAAAAAAAAAAAAAAAAAAAAGCTGTTGCTCTGTCTATGGAGTAGCCATTCTTTTGTTTCTTTACTTCTCTAAGAAACAAATAAACAAACAAACAAACAAAAAGCCTGACACTAGTGGCCATGCATTGCAGGGGAGACAGACATTAAAGATTTAATCCAAGTAAACAAAACACAAAACAACAACCCTCGGGGAAGAAAGTCAGAATCCAGAGTTGCTAGAATATACTACCTGAAGTAGTCAAGAAAAAAATTATGAGACATGCAAAAAATAAAGTGACCTACACTCAGGGGAAAAATAGTCAATAGTCCACAGAAATTATGTCTGAGTGCCTTTAGATGCTGGATTTAGTGGACAAAGATTTCAAAACAGCTATTTTTTTAAAACTCTTCAAAGAACTAAAGGAAACTGCACTTGATAAAAATTAAAGTATGATGACAATGATCTGACTGGTAGGGAAGCTCAATAGAGAGACAGAAATTATTATTTTTTTTTAAAAAAGAATTAAGTCAAAGCCTGGGGTTGAAAAGTAAAGTAACTGAAATTTTAAAAATTGCCAGAAGGACTCAACAGCAGATTGGAAAACAGAAGAAAGAATCAGTGAACTTGAACAAATAGCTCAACAGAAATTATCTAATCTGAAGAACAGAGAAAAAAGACTGAAGAAAATAAGCAGAACATCAAAAACCTATGGGGCAAAATCAAGCACAGCAACATATGTATAAGGGAGAGAGAGAAAGGAACAGAAAAACAATGGAAGAAACAATGGCCAGTATTTCCCACATTGGAGGAAAACCAATACTCAGCAGATCCAATAAGCTCAATCAATCCCAAGAAAGACAAACACAAAGAAACCCACACCTAAACACATTATAATCAGACTGTTGAAGGTCAAAGACAGAGAAAATATTGAAAGTAGCAAGAGAAAAAAACTATGCATCAAAAACAATGGCGGGCACAAGGCAGTAGAATGACAAATTCAAAGGGCTGAAAGAGAAAATAATTGCTAAACCAGAATTACACCTATAGCAAATCATCCTTCAAAAACGAAGGCAAAATAAACATTCTGACGTATACAAAGACAGAGAGAAATGGCTAACAGAGAGAAATGGCTAGCAGACATGCCTTACAAGAAGAGCTGAAGGAAGTTCTTCAGGCTGAAAGGAAATGACACAAGATGATCACTTGAGTTCCCAGGAATAAGTGACAAGACCAGATATAATAAATATGAGAGCAGATATAAATGACTCCATACACCTTTTATCTCATCTTCTTTAAATGACATTAGATTGTATAACACTGCATTTTTCAGTTCATAACAAATATAGTTGCAATATTTACGGTTATTACATAAAAGATAAAGAAAGGAAGAGGATACTTAAGCAATGTTAAGAAAGAAAGGGGCCGGGCACGATGGTTCACACTTGTAATCCCAGCACTTTCGGAGGCCGAGGCGGGCGGATCACTTGAGGTCAGGAGTTCAAGACCAGCCTGGCCAATATGGCGAAACCCCATCTCTATGAAAAATACAAAAATTAGCTGGGCATGGTAGTGCACACCTGTAATCCCAGCAACTCAGGAGGCTGAGACAGGAGAATCACTTGAACCCAGGAGGCAGAGGTTGCAGTGAACCGAGATTGTGCCACTGCACTCACTCCAGCCTGGAAGAAAGAAAGAGACTCTGTCTAAAAAAAAAAAAAAAAAAAAAGGAAAAGAAAAGAATAAGAAAGAAAGGAAGGAAGGGGAAAGGAGTGAAGTTTCTATATTTTAGTAGAATTGAGTTAAATTATTCTAAACTGGACTGTGATACACCCCATCTTCCATGATGTGGTTATTATGTATTACATGACTATATCAAACATCTCATGTACCCATAAATATATACACCGACTATGTATCCACAAAAATTAAAAATCAAAATTAAATAAAATAGAATGTGATATATTGAGGTCCATATTGTAATTTGTAGAGCTTAAGATAACTTTAAAAATAATAAAAAAGTCAACAGAAGCATTAAAATGGTACACTAAAAGCAACACAAAAGAAATAACACAACAGGTCGGGCGTGGTGGCTCATGCCTATAATCCCAGCATTTTGGGAGGCCGAAGCGGCTGGATCATGAGGTCAGGAGATCGAGACCATCCTGGCTAACACGGTGAAACCCCGTCTCTACTGAAAATACAAAAAAATTGGCTGGGCGTGGTGGCTGGTGCTTCTAGTCCCAGCTACTCAGGAGGCTGAGGCAGGAGAATGGCGTGAACCAGGGAGGCGGAGCTTGCAGTGAGCTGAGATCGTGCCACTGCACTCCAGCCTGGGAAACAGAGCAAGACTCTGTCTCAAAAGAAAAAAAAAAAAAACAAAGAAACAACACAAAAGAAAGTAGTAAAGGAGGGAAAAGGGAACAAAAAAGACATGATACAAATAGCAAATAGCAAAATGGTGTATGTAAATTTAACCACATGAGTAATGATATTAAATAGAAATGGACTAAACATCACATTCAAAAGGCAAGGTTACTCAGAATGGATAAAAAAGCAAGGCCCAGTTACATGCTGTCTACTAGAAACACACCTTAAATTCAAAGACACAAACAGATTGAAAGTAAAAGCATAGAAAAGGCCTTACAATGCAAACAGTAACCATAAAAGAGAGTAGCTACATAAATATCAGAGAATAAAGGATTTTAAGACAAGAAACATTAGCATAGACAAAGAGAGACATTTCTTGATGATAAGAAGGTCAATAGTCAGGAAGATAGAGCAATTGTAAGTGTATATGAATGTATTAGTCTGTTCAGGCTGCAGTAACAAAACACCATAAAGTGGGTGGCTTGTAAACAACAGAAATTTATTTCTCAGAGTTTTGAAGGCTGAGAAGTCCAAGATCAAGGTGCCAGCAAATTCAGTATCAGGTGAGGGCTTGCCCTCTGCTTCACAGATGGTGCCTTCTAGCTGTGTCTTCACATGGTGGAAGGCAAACAAGCTCCTTTGGTCCTCTCTTATAAGGGCACAAATCCCATTCATAAGGCATTCATCATCATGATCTAATTACCTCCCAAAAACCCAACCTTCTAACACCATCACCTTGGGAGTCAGGATTTCAACATATGAATTTTGCATCAAAAATAAACATCCCCTTTCAAGCCATCTGCCCAGGTGAGGTTATCACAAACATTTCAAGCAAATGAAGGCTGGTATCCTCAGACAGAAGAGCATCCTCAGACATAAGGGCAAACTACATCCATTGGCCAAGAGGCACAGAGTGACAAGGGTACCAGACTGTCAGTTTCATCTGGGTCCCACCTGCCATCTCTGAGCTTCAGGATCCCATCCTTTCCCAATCAATGGCCTAACTTTCACATAAGAAATCTGGTGATCATGTGAATTTAACAGACATTATAAGTCCCCAACATATACAATCTAATTTTTGTTTGATTTTCATCAATATAACCCCAGAGCTACAAGAAATATATTATTTTGGGCTGTCATAGGAGCTCTCTGGTTCCTGCACCATGACTTAATGGTCCTGAGCTTATCGTTTTCTTTCTGGAAAGCTCCCATGGACTCAGGAGAATACATCCTCCGCCACAGTTTTTGTAGTCATTGTCACTGCCATAGAGTCAAGTGAAGCAGCTACTTAGCCACTCAAGACACTTGCTTCAGCTGGCACTTCATCACAATCAGCCACAGGTGACAGCCTGATTAACTGTGATGCCCCCGCATGCTATGGATCACCAGTGTCCCATTTCCCATTGGCAAGGAGCTCGGCACTGTTCCCAAGCAAAGGACAAGACCAAACCACTTCCAAAATCCTTTTGCAGGTTTATTTCCTGGGACCAATCCCAGTACCAATTCTGTATCAGAATCCAACCAGGAGATAGAAACCACAAGTAATTTGAACAGGAAAAATTCATATAAATAATTTTTAACTGATAGCCAGGGATTAAATACTAATAGGTAAAGCAGATTCTACATATACAGAAATTCCAAACATAGGAAGGATCCCCTACCTCTGTGGCTGAGACAGACAGCCTAAGGAGGAACAAATTTGGAAGAGGCACTTACTTTGCCCCATACCCAAGGCTGAAATCAGACTTCATTGAATTGAGTGTGGTTGTCACCCACTGGATGGCAGAGAAGTTCACTGAGGTGACACAGATCAGAGCCCGCAAGGAAAAAGTCGCCCGCTGGGATCCAGTGAAACTCATTAGGAACTCCCCATCCAGGGAACTGGCAGAACATGTTGGGAAGTCAGATACAGAGATGCTGCTGGAACTTGCTGGAAAGTTGCTACTGGGATGCCCCAGAGACTATCTGGGAAGCTGGTTGGGGTGCCAGTGGAACTCACTGAGAAGCGTCCATGGGACAACACTGAAATTCACAGGGTTCAGCGTGTCCTACACGTTAGCTCACATTGCAAGGGCAAAGAGACGAGAAAGCACGTACCTCTGCATCTCTTTACTGAGACTCTCTGAGAGTCTTGGGTCTAAGTAGGATCCTGCCCCTTTGAATCCTAGAAGTGCAGCTCAGAGCAGGATACAGTAAGTACTCCATAAATGGTTGTTAGTTTAAATTACAAAGCTGTTATACATTATAGCCTATTGTTGCACTAATAGAAATATAATTGGGGGGCAATCTAGATGTTTTAAAGTTCATAATGTTAAACATTTATAATCACCAATAACCTTTCCTCCCTGTAAAAATGAAATTAGTTGTGAAAATCCCTTTCCAAGCAAGTAGAAAATAATTTTGGGTATTACACCAATTAGTATAAACAGAGAAAAAATCAGACCAACGGGACTTGTTCATATTTTGTTTTCTGTATCGTCCTGTTTCACTAACACGTTTAGTCCAGAATCTCTACAAGCTGCACACATATCAATGAATCTGGCCCAATTTGGTGTTAGAGTCTGTTTTTATTTAAAATCGACTCCCACACTTATTCCCTAAGATTCTGCCATTATATATTAGCAAAATCTTTAAGGAGTTTAAAATGTATCACTGAAGTAAATTAAATTAACTTCTACAAAAATCTTGAGCAATATATTAGAAGAATATTAAAACAGCCATTTAATACCTGACCCCTTGCTTGAGGCATAACTCGAATCTAAAACTCTGGACTTGGAACTCACTCAATTAGTAACTTTTTCTTAGTAACTATCTTTTTAAAAATTGTAATTTTTCACTCAATATCACAGATCTCTTTATTTCATTTTCATCCCTTTATTCTGAGTCCAAAAAAAAATCCCCAAAATATCAAGTGCTTAAAAGATGAACACATTTTGGTGAAGGTTTTAATTTTTAGCAAGCCAAGTATGTTTTTTAACTATCTACAAAATTAGTAGTGAGATAATATCAATTATTATCTACCCTTAACCAGCCAAAGCTTTTACATTTCAATACATAGATCAATCTATAGATTCTTTGGACAGAATGATGCATCTTACAGATATATAGATATATAGAGACACAAAGTAATTGGTACTTCTCTTCATTTATTTCTAGAATATATTTCCTTATTATACCCAGAATATGAGCAGAGCTATCAAATGAGTAGGAAATATTTATTTATCCGTGCATGCCTCATTAAAACAATAAGATTCTAATCTTTTTTGAGCCTGTGCCTCTGGCAGGCCACACAAAAGACACAGCATTGCAAATAAGTTTTTCCATGCGTAAGTAGGAGCGTGTAAGAGTTCAATCAGCCAGTAATTCTTCAACAAGTATGTATATGTGCGGTTCATGTGTACCAAGCACTGTGTTACTACTGCAAATAAAGATCAGATTGGCCAATGAAAGATGTTTTTGATAATTCTGCTGCTCACCTGAGCTCCTTCCGGGGGTGGGAGACGACAGCCAAATATGGGTGGGACAGGAGAGCCACATTCTTGACAGAAGCGAGCAAAGGGATCTGATGGGCGGGGGGCAAGGCAGTGGGCACACCTACAACAAAACAGGTTCCCGATTGGCCATGTTCTGCTGGGTCCACATTAGGAAGACTGACAAAAATCTAAAAGCGTTCAAACACTTTTAAACACAAAACAAAAGCAGACTGCTCTCAACGGCCATGGAACAAGTTCAAGACAGGAAATACTTCTCTAGGTCATTTTACTTGAATAGTGGCCTTGCAACTGGACCCTCTGGTGCCCTTTCCACGTCGGCCAAGTCCATTTAACTTCATGATTGTAGCAAGAAGTTTATCAGCAGCCTTGACCCCACTTCTTGCTCAGGCTCTGGCTTGTCCTGTCACATTGGATTTGATGTGTATGAGGGTGAGCCCTGGGTATTCCAGTAATTTTTACATTATGCTTCTCTGACTTTCTGCCATTGAGCCCAGTCTGAGGGACAGGCCTTCTTGCTCGTGCATCAGACCCATCCTTTCTCTTTGCCCACTTTAGCTTAGAGTCCTCAGGCCCTGCTCCAGCAACATCTCACCCCATTTCTTAGGCAGCTCAGCTGGACCCATCATTTAGCTCCCACTCATCTAAATGGGTTCTGGCTATCTGCCAAAGTGAGAGCATTCTTGGAATTCAGCTGCCCTAATTCCTTTCCTGCTACTACCATGCCTTTCCAGACAAGTTGGCTCCTGATCCTGTAACCTATCGATCTGAACAGCTCCTCAGCAGCTAGAAGGCTTGGATACTGTGCACTGGACTGCCTGGTTGCCCGCACTAGTCTCCACGTTGGAGCTGAGCTCATTCCCACACTCTTATCCTATGTAGTCCTTCATTACTGTACCATGACACCAAGTTTTCACCATGTCTCTAGCATGGGCCCACCCGCCAGGGCAACAACAGTTCCCTCTTTTCTATACCCAAAGCTCATGAAGTGTAATCTGACTATCTCATTCCTCTGATTTGAATTGAGGGCATAGAGCTGGGATCTCAGAAGGTCAAGGTAACTGGAGTTTTTAGGAAAGAATACCAGAGAAGAGCTGCAGGGAGAGCTTCAGAATTTTGCAGAGGGTCACCCTCAAGTCTTTACCTGGGTATACTGATAAGTGCATGTGATGGAAGAAACCACTCAAGGTTAGAAAGTAAACACCAAAGGGGAACAGAGAAAACAATCTTCAGGATCCACATAGGGCTGGGAAGCTCATGCTTACACCAACCAAAGTGGAAAAAAATTCATATTTACTGAGGTATCAGTTAGAATACTCTATATATACTCTAAATACTCCAATTAGAACATAGGAGTTGTCAGGTATGTTTTTTTAAAAAGCTAGACCTAATTATGCTGCTCAAAAGAAACCAACTTTAAATAGAGACATAAATAGATTCAATAAAGGGAGGTACACACACATCAAAAGAAAGCAGGAGTGACAACATTAACATCAGAACAAGTAGGTTTCTGAGCAAAGAATATTACCAGAGTTAAAGAGGTTTATTTCATAATGATAAAAGGGTCAACTCAGGAAGAGGACATAAGAATCCAAAATGTTTATGTACTTAATAGCAGAGTGTCAAAGTACATGAAGAAAAACTGATAGAAATGAAATGCAGGAATAAATAGGCAAATTCGTAATTACAGTCATATATTTCAATATTACTTTTTCAATAATTGATTACATGATAAAGAGAAAATCAGTAAAGATAGAGAAGACTTAAACAATACCATCAACTAACTTAACCTAATTGATATTTACAGTACACTCATTCTGGCAGAATACACATTCTTTTAAAGTGCACATAGAATATTTACCAATCAAATCATATATCTTTTCTGACCAAAAGTAAATAAATATGACATAAGGACCAGGCCAGGCGCACTGGCTCATACCTGTAATCCCAACAATTTGCGAGACTGGGGTGGGAGGATCACTTGAGGCCAGGAGTTCAAGATCAGCCTGGGCAAATTTGTGAGAACTCCCCCCTACCCCCACCAGAAAAAAAAAAAATGTAAGGTTTCTTGTTTTGTTTTGAGACAGAGTCTTGGTCTGTCGCTCAGACTGGAGTGCAGTGGCATGATCTCGGCTCATAGCAGCCTCCACCTCCTGGGTTCAAGGTATCACTGTGTCTCAGCCTCCCGAGTAGCTGGGATTACAGGAGTGCACCACCATGCCTAATTTTTTTTTCTGTGTGTATATTTTTAGTAGAGACAGGATTTTGCCATGTTGGCCAGGCTGGTCTCAAACTCCTGGCCTCAAGTGATCCTCCCATCTCGGCTTCCCAAAGTGCTGGGATTACAGGCATGAGCCACCACGCCCAGCCCCGCCAAAAAAAAAAAAAAAAATGTTTTTTAATTAGCCGGTGTAGTGGCACATGCCTATAGTCCCAGCTGTAGGGACTGAGCTGAGGCTGAGGCAGGAGGATGCCTTGAACCCAGGAGTTTGAGGCTGCAGTGAGCTATGATTGGGCCTCTGCACTTCAGCCTGGGTGACAGAGTAAGACCCTAAGAAAGAAAGAAAGAAGAAAGGAGGAAAGGAAAGAAGGAAGGGAGAGAGGGCGGGAGGGCAGGAAGGAAGGAAAGAAAGAAGGCAGACAGGCCCAAAAGATACAAGGAAAATCCTCCAGTATTTGGAAATTAAACACTTCTAACTAACTCATTGTCCTCCCCACAAAATAACAAGGATAATTAGAAACTGTTTGAACTGAATGAAAATGAAAACACAGTATATCAAAATTCCGAGACTGCAAGTAAAACAGTATTTGGGGCCGGGCGCGGTGGCTCAAGCCTGTAATCCCAGCACTTTGGGAGGCCGAGACGGGCGGATCACGAGGTCAGGAGATCGAGGCCATCCTGGCTAACACGGTGAAACCCCGTCTCTACTAAAAATACAAAAAACTAGCCGGGCGAGGCGGCGGGCGCCTGTAGTCCCAGCTACTCGGGAGGCTGAGACAGGAGAATGGCGGGAACCCGGGAGGCGGAGCTTGCAGTGAGCTGAGATCCGGCCACTGTACTCCAGCCTGGGCGGCAGACCGAGACTCCGTCTCAAAAAAAAAAAAAAAAAAAAAAAAAAAAAGAAAAAAGTATTTGGGGGAAATGTATAGTTCTAAACGCCTATGCTAGAAAAGAAGAAAGGCTTCAAATCAGTAACTTCATGTTCCCATTAAAGAAACTAAAAACAAAACAAATGAAACCTAAAATTTACTCCAAAAGAAATATTAATAAATATAAATATAAATAAATATAAATATAAATGTATATCTATTAAAGAAATCTAACATGTAGTTAAAAATCTCCCTGAGCCGGGCATGGTGGCTCACGCCTGTAATCCCAGCACTTTGGGAGGCTGAGGTGGGCGGATCACGAGGTCAGGAGATCGAAACCATCCTAGTCAACATGGTGAAACCTCATCTCTACTAAAATACAAAAAAATTAGCTGGGCGTGGTGGTGCATGCCTACTTGGGAGGCTGAGGTAGGAGAATTGCTTGAATCCGGGAGGTGGAGGTTGCAGTGAGCCAAGATTGCGACACTGCACTCCAGCCTGGAGACAGAGCAAGTCTCCGTCTCAAAAGAAAAAAAAAAAAAAATTCCTGAAAAAAAAAATCTTCCTGAAGGAACAATCCAGATCTAATCATTTCACTTGTGTAAAATGTAAGGAAGAAATAACACCAATTTCACATAAACTTTTTCAGAAGTCGAAGGCGTGAGAATACTTCCCAACTTACTCTGTGAATCTAGAATTATGCCGATACTAAAACCAGACAAAGACATTTAACAAGAAAAGAAAATCCCCCAACATCCCTTATGCAAAAGCTGGCAAAAAAATTCTTTAAACCCTTTTAGCAAATCAAATTCAACATTATATAAAATAGATGACACTTCAAGTGGATATATTTCGGGAATGAAAGGATGATTTAACATTTGAAAACCAATCATTGTAATTCACCGCATGAACAGAAAAAAAAAAAAAAAAACCTAAATTATCCTCTCAATAAATAGAAAAAATGCTTTGGACAAAATCTAACATCTATTCCTGATTTTAAAAAAGACATTCTCGGCCGGGCGCGGTGGCTCACGCGTGTAATCCCAACGCTTTGGGAAGCCGAGACGGGCAGATCACAAGGTCAGTAGATCGAGACCATCCTGGCTAACACGGTGAAACCCCGTCTCTACTAAAAAATACAAAAACACTAGCCGGGCGAGGTGGCGGGCGCCTGTAGTCCCAGCTACTCGGGAGGCTGAGGCAGGAGAATGGCGTGAACCCGGGAGGCGGAGCTTGCAGTGAGCTGAGATCCGGCCACTGCACTCCAGCCCGGGCGACAGAGCGAGACTCCGTCTCAAAAATAAATAAATAAATAAAATAAAATAAAAATAAAATAAAATAAATAAAATAAAAAAGAAACTCTCAACAAATTAGAAACAGGTAAAAATTTCCTCAATTTGGCTGGGCGTGGTAGCTTACCCCTATAATCCCACCACTTTGGGAGGCTGAGGCGGGTGGATCACCTGAGGTCAGAAGTTCAAGACCAGCCTGGCCAACATGGTGAAACCCCGTCTATACTAAAAAAAAAAATAAATAAACCTCAAAATTTGCTACACGTGGTGGTGCATGCCTCTAGTCTCAGCTTTTGGGAGGCTGAGGGAGGAGAATCACTTGAACCTGGGAGGTGGAGGTTGCAGTGAGCCAAGATTGCACTACTGCACTCCAGCCCGGGCAATAGAGCAAGACTCCATCTCAAAAAAAGGAAAAGAAAATGTCCTCAACCTGACAAAGCTCATCAGTGGAAAACCTACAGCTGATACCATATGTAATGCTGAAAGATAAATGCTGTCCCACTGGGGTCAAAAATAAGACAAGGGCCCATGTGCAGTGGCTCATGCCTGTAATCCCAGCGCTGTGGGAGGCTGAGGTAGGGGGATCACTTCAAGACAAGAGTTCAAGACTAGCCTGGGCAACACAGTGAGATCCCCACCTTTACCAAAAAAAATTTTTTTTTTGTTTTTTTTGTTTTTTTTGTTTTTTTTGAGACAGAGTCTTGCTCTGTCACCCAGGCTGGGGTGCAGTGGCCGGATCTCAGCTCACTGCAAGCTCCGCCTCCCGGGTTTACGCCATTCTCCTGCCTCAGCCTCCCGAGTAGCTGGGACTACAGGCGCCCGCCACCTCGCCCGGCTAGTTTTTTGTATTTTTTAGTAGAGATGGGGTTTCACCGTGTTAGCCAGGATGGTCTCGATCTCCTGACCTCGTGATCCACCCACCTCGGCCTCCCAAAGTGCTGGGATTACAGGCTTGAGCCACCGCGCCTGGCCTACAAAAAAAAATTTTAAATAAAACTAATTTTAAAGAAGAGTAAGACAAGGGTGTCTACTTTCACCATTTCTATTCGAAACTATTACATTCAAAATTGTAGCCAAGGCGACAAGTCAAGAAAAAGAAGGAAAAGGGACCCAAATTGGAAAGGAAGAAAGGTAACTCTTCATTTGCAGGCTGCCCAGTCTCCTACAGAGATCATCCTATGGAATCTATAAAAAGCTAGTGGAATAAGTGAATTTCATAAGACTTGAAGATATAAGGCCACTAAACAAAAATCAATTGTGTTTCATATTTTAGTAATGAATAATCAGAAATTGAAATGCTTTATTGTAGCAAAAAAGTATCTATAATGTTACAATATATAATATAAATTCCTCTCAACAGTTTTTAATTGTACATTACAGTATTGTTAACTACATACACATTGTCGTAAAAAGATCTCTGGAACTTTTTCACCTTGCCTGAATGTAACTCTATACTAATCCAACAACTGCCTGTTTCCTCGTGCCATCAGCCCCTGGCAAGTACTATTCTACTTTCTGTGAGTTTCATTACTTTAGATACTTCCTTTAAGTGGAATCATGCAGTATTTATCTTTTTGTGAGAAAGTGAAATTTTAAAAGCATTTACAACAGGATAAACTTGAAAAAAGATGTGTAAAGCTTGTGAACTGAAAACTACAAACATTAACGAAAGAAATTAAAGAAGACCTAAATAAATGGTGAGATATAGTATCCTTATGGATTGTAAAGCTCAATATTGTTAATATGTCAATATTCCCTAAACTGATATATAGATTCAATACAATCTCAATTAAAACCACAGCAGATATTTTGTAAAAGCTGAGAGGCTGATTTTTAAATCTGAAAACATAAAGGACCTAGAATAGCCAAAATACCTTTGATAGGAGCAACTAAGCTGAGGAATTTACAACTTACTTGGTTTTAAAACTTATTATAAAGTTGCAATAATCAAGGCAGTACGGTAGTGAATAAATATAGAGAAACATTGATGGAATAGAATACAAAGTCCATGACTAGATCCACACAAATACCATCAATTAATGTTCAAATATTCCAAAAGTAATCAATGAGGAAAGATAATTTTTTCAAACATTTGTACTGGAATAATTAAATATTCATATGTAAAAATATGAACCTCAATCCTTACCTTATGCCATATGAAAAAATTAATTAAAAATGGATTGTATACCTAAGTATAAGAGATGAAACTGAAAAACTTCTAGAAGAGAACATAGGAGGAAATCTGAGTGAATAGAATACATCTTGCGTTTGGGAAAGATTTCTGAAGTATGACAAACTAAAAATAAAATGTAAAAGAAAAGCAAATAAATTGGACTTCATCAAAATTAAAAAAACTTTAGCTCTTTGAAAACACTGTTAAGAAAATGAAAAGCCAAAGACTGGGAGAAAATATTTGCAAAAATGTACCCATGAAACGTCTAACAAAGGAGAACATGTACAACTCTATATCAGGACAAACAGCTATCCTTTTAAAAAAAAAAAAAACTCTATAAGAAGAAGGTATATAACACATTTTAAATTTTTGTTTTGTTTTGTTTTTTTGAGACAGAGTCTTGCTCTGTCACCCAGGCTGGAGTGCAGTGGCATGATCTTGGCTCACTGCAACCTCCACTTCCCGGGTTCAAGCAATTCTCCTGCCTCAGCCTCCCAAGTAGCTGGGATGACAGGCGACCACCACCATGCACAACTAATTTTTTGTATTTTTAGTAGAGACAGGGTTTCACCATGTTGGCCAGGCTGGTCTTGAACTCCTGACCTCAGGTGATCTGCCCGCCTCGGCCTCCCAAAGTGCTGGGATTACAGGTGTGAGCCACTGCACCTGACCTATAATGCATTTTTTTAAAGGCAAAATGTTCGAACAGACACTTTACCAAAGAAGATGCATGGATGGAAATAAGCACATGAAAAGAGGCTCAACATCATTAGTCACTAGGGAAATGCAAATAAAAACCACAATGAGATACTGTTACAATCTCATTAAAATGAACAAACTAAAAATAAAAGTTAGTAAGGATATAGAGAATTCTCATCCACTGCTGGTGAGAATGTAAAATAGAACAATCACTTTGGAAAGCAGTTTGGCAGTTTCTTAAAAAAAAATACCGATTATATTCCTCTTCAAGGTATTTGCCCCAAGGGAAATGAAAACATGTGTATACATAATGACTTCGGGGTTTTAAAAATTATTTTATTATACTTGTTAATTTTTATCAATTTATTTATTTATTTAGACACTAGGTATGAGACTGGCTCACTTTTGTATATACAATAACTTCTGTACAAACGTTCATAGCAACTTTATCTGTAATAGCTCAAAATTCCCATCAATAAGTGAATGGATGAACAAACTGTGGTATATCCATAAAATGAACTGTTTTTCAGCAATAAAGAGAAATGGATGTTGTTACAAGGAACAACATGGATGAATCTCAAAATAGTTATGCTGAGTGAAGGAAACCCCCCCAGAAAAGAGTAGAGACTAAATCATGTCGTTGACATATGGAATCACATGCAAGTTAAGCTATAGTGACAAGAAGCAGATCGATAATTGCCTGTGATGCGGGGGTGAAAGGAAGGGGTTACCAAATAGTGTACAATGTAGGAAATTTTTGGCGGGGATGAACTTATTCACTTTCTTGATTGTGATAGTGTCATGGTTACATACATACATACAGAGTCAAACGAACTCTAAATACATATGCAGTTTGTTGTATGTCAATTATACTTTTTAATAGACTGTAAATATTTAATTTAAAAAGTTGGGGCCAGGTGTGGTGGCTCACACCTGTAATCCCAGCACTTTGGGAGGCCGAGGTGGGCAGACCACGAGGTCAAGAGATCAAGACCACCCTGGCCAACATGGTGAAACTCTGTCCCTACTTAAAATACAAAAATTAGCTGGGTGTGGTGGCACATGCCTGTAATCTCAGCTACTTGGGAGGCTGGAGCAGGAGAATCACCTGAACCCGGGAGGCAGAGATTGCAGTGAGCTGAGATTGCACCACTGCACTCCAGCCTGGGCAACAGAGCAAGACTCTGTCTCAAAAAAAAAAAAAAGCTGGAGGTGGGCAAAAATGTCCTACCTTTAAATTCTCTTTGACCATGATGTATCTTCGTAGAATTTAAGACAGAGTAAAGAGAATGTGATACTTACTTGAGAAAGTCTGTCTCCCTTTGAATTCTCATTATCTCCGTGCTTGTCAAACACTTCAGGCCACTTATATGTGCAAAACCGGGAGACTAAAATTAAGAATATAGTTATATAGAGAGAGTCATATAGTCAAAATAACATAGTAAAGGCTATGGTATAGTAAAATTCCATTAAAAATCATTACGGGTGAATACACATAGATATACAAAGAGGAATAGTAGACACTATAGACTCTAAAAGTGGGAAGGGTGGGAAAAGGCGAGGGCTGAAAAATTACCTATTGTGTGCAGTGTTCATTATTCAGGTGAAGGGTACCCTAGAAGCCCAGACCTCACCATTACACAATACATGTAACAAACCTGCATCCCCTAAATCTATAAAAACAAAAAATTATAAAAATAAAAAATCATTATGAGGAGTAATGTAATTATTATTCTAGTATCTAACATTTCTAAATTAAAGTGCTATTCACAATCATATATGTATATTTCATTAAAAATGAGAGTTTATAATAAAAGATACCTGAATTTTCCATCAGACCAGATTTTAGGATTTAAAAACTTTAGTATCCCAGGCTGGCCAACATGGCAAAACCCCATCTCTACTAAAAATAAAAAAATAAAAAAATTAGACGGGTGTGGTGGCGGGTGCCTGTAATCCCAGCTACTAGGGAGGCTGAAGCAGGAGAATCGCTTGAACCCAGGAGGCAGAAGTTGTGGTGAGCCGAGATTGCACCATTGCACTCCAGCCTGGGTGAGAGTGAGACCCTGTCACACACACAACATACAAAAAAAGGAAAAATAAACAAGTAAATAAACTCTGCCAGGTGCAGTGCCTCACGCCTGTAATCCCAGCACTTTGGGAGGCAGAGGCAGGCAGATCAACTGAGGTCAGGAGTTTGGGACCAGCCTGACCAACATGGAGAAACCCCATCTCCACTAAAAACACAAAATTAGCTGGGCGTGGTGGCGCATGCCTGTAATCCCAGCTACTCAGGAGGTTGAGGCAGGAGAATCGCTTGAACCCGGGAGGCAGAGGTTGCGGTGAGCCAAGCTTACACCATTGCACTCTAGCCTGGGCAATAGAGTGAAACTCCATCTCAAACAAATACATAAATAAACTTTAGTCTCTATTTTTCTCAAAAATTGTATCTCTAGGAAACTCAAAGGACTGAACTTAAGACTTCAGGCTTTATCCTATAGGGAGCAGTCAGAGGTTTCTCATTGCTTTTGTGCCACATCTAATATGGCCTAGGCTGGGTGTAGTGGCTCACGTTTGTAATCCCAATACTTTGGGAAGCTGAGGCAGGAGGATCGCTTGAGGCCAGGAGTTCAAAAACAGTCTGGGCAACATAGTAAATCCCCATCGCTACAAAAAGAAAAAGAAATAAATAAAAACATAACATGACCTAGACCCTGAGTCTCAAAGTGGTAGTCTATTAGCCAAATTTGGCCTGCCATTGAGTTTTATTTGGCATTGGCTCCCATAGTGTTTCAAAATTTGAACTAATTGTCAAAACTTTAAATTATGTTATTACACATAAAGATGTAAGTTTCTGGCTTCTCATGCAAATTCATTGGATGTAGCAACACTGAGCCTTCAGTCCTTCTTGCTAATGGTTGCCTGAGGCTGGGTAAAGTGATTCCTTTAACTGGCTGGGGCACTTCACATTGTCAGAGAACCTGCAGCTCTCATGCTCCTACACTATGGCCAGATGTCAGCTGTCATTTATCCTCTACCCAGGCTGCATCATGCATTTACTCTGCTGCCTGACCCCTGCAGGTTCCCTCAGGCCAGATGCTGAGCTCAGAGACATCTTGTCTCCCTGGGATTGTTGAAATGTGGTGATACCCACCAGTGTCATTAATTTGGATATATGCTAAAGTATGCTTCAGATGGGATTCAGCTGAAATACTGAGAAGACTCTTACCAATATGAAGGAAAAGAGTGGAAGAAAAAAGTTTTGTGGTCTTCTCCTGGCCTTCCTGGCTTTCTGAACTCTGGTCAAATTCCCTAAACTTTGTCTTTGTCCTGCTGTTCCTAGTTTTTGGGGATTCTAAATTTTGGAATCTTTAAATATTATTTTATCTTTCCCTTGTAAACAACTCAAACAACCAAGTGGGCAAGGTAATCCAAATATTTTATGCACAAAGAAAATATTTCTAGGCACATTACAAATAGTTATGGCCACATGAGACTGCTTTTCTAAAATAGCTCCTGTGTTTTATCATATATGGTCATTCATTCTTCAAAATGGTATGTTTTACCTCACAAGCAGTATTCTTATTTGGGTCATGCCGGTGTGCACTGCCCACGGATTCTGAGTGTGCTCATCCGCCCATCTGATAACCAGAGAACCCTTCTTTCCAGAAGATTGGGAGAGGCAATCTTCCATGTAGGGGGGCTGCCCTTTTGTTTAGTGGGCCTTGCAAGCGGGCCTTCCCAGGTCTGGTCCTCTTGCCTGGGCTTTGTGGTTCTCCAAAAAATATAGTGAATGGGCAGATGAAAGAACCTAGGAGGTCAGGCTGAGTTATACCTTGGCCTTAGAGTCTAGAAGTGAAGGAAAGAGCTTGACCTTGGGATAACTGGTCTTCTAGGCCAGTGATTCTCAGTGTGGGCTGATCAACAAAGTCATCTGTGGACTCCATCCCAGGCTTATGGACTCTGACTATCTAGAAGGATTGCAGGGAGCATAGCTGGGACTTGATACATATTTAAAGTTTCCCCTGGGTGATTGTGATATGCAACTGGGTTTGGAAACCATGCTTTTTGCCTCCTTTATACTTGATGGTAAGTGTGAGCAGCCATTAAATCATGGGCACACAAGAAGCAGTTGTGGTTACACAGAAAATGTGACTCCAGGTACATTAAACTTGGCACTCAAATAGGAGGAAGAGAACAAGGGCTCCTGGGTTGCCCTTAGATGCCAAAAGTCCAAATTGGATTTTATAAACATTGAAAAATCAAAGCACTATAATAGTAGGCAACTAGTGTAAGAGCATCTTTCTTGTGTTATAGTAGTAAGAATGCATTGATATGCCATTTATTTATTTATTTATTTATTTATTTATTTTTGAGATGAAGTCTTACTTTGTTGCCAAGGCTGGAGTGCAATGGCACGATCTTGGCTCACTGCAACCTCTGCCTCCCTGGTTCAAGCGATTCTTCTGCCTCAGCCTCCTGAGTAGCTGGGACTACAGGTATGCAACACTAGGCCCGGCTAATTTTTGTACTTTTAGTAGAGACGGGGTTTCACCATATTGGCCAGGCTGGTCTTGAACTCCTGATCTCATGATCTGCCCACCTCGGCCTCCCAAAGTGCTGGGATTACAGGTGTGAGCCACCGCACCCAGCTGATATGCCTTTTATTAAGGTCATAAGTCACCTCTATCTTGGCAAAGCCAATGGGAATTTCCAATTGTCTGTCTTTATCTAATTAGAACCTGCAGTAACATATGACATAGAGGACCTTCTCCTTGAAATTCTTCCATTTCTTGGTCTCCATGGCAACATATTCTTTTGGCTTTCTTTCTACTTTCAGGCTCCTCCTCCCCTGCTCAACCTCTAAGTTGAGGACTTTCTTCATTTTCCTTCTCTTCATTTTCTGTACAGCCTTGACTAGTGATCTCATTCAGACCTAAGCTTCAAATACCATCAACATATTGAATATTTCCACATTTCTAAGTACGTATCTCCAGCCCTGACCTTTCCTGAGTGTGAACTTGCATATCCAACAGTCTACTCAACACCTCTACTTGGATGTCTAATGTGTCCTTGGACACCTGCTCCTCTCTCATCTTTTCCAGCTTTGTCAATGGCACCATCATCTCCAGATACTCAGGACAAACCCTGAGAGGCATCCTTGGCTCCTCGCCTTCCCTTCCAGCTATTGGATCCCTCAGCCAAGCCTACCTCCTATCCTGACTACCTCTACAACCTTGGTCCAAGCCACTGTCATTTCTCACCTGGAACAAAAGCCCCCTAAATAATGTTCTCTCTTTCCTCTTCCATGGCCTAATCTCCATACTGTGGCCAAAGAGAAAACTTTTAAATGTAAATGGGACTGTGTCTTGTCTGCCAAACAGATTCCCTTTACAATTAGAATATAATTCAAACTTCTTACGGTCAGACTAGTGTCTATGACTCTCAACCATGCCTGACCATTAGAATCATTTAGGGTTTTTTTTTTTTTTTTTTTTTTTTTTTAATGATGCTCAAACTCCACTTCAGACCAATTAAATCAGAATTTCTGACGCTAAACCTTGGGGATTGGTTTGAACCTCCTCAGGTGATTCTAAGGTGCAGCCATGTTTGAGAACCACAGCTCTAGACACTCTGGCCCCAGCCATCTTCTGCCTCATCTCCCACTTTGCTCATCAGGCCTGAGAATGTGGATTTCAAATAAGTTCCCATGTGATGCTGATGCTGCAGGTCTGGGGATCGCCTCTGAGAACCACTGCTGTATCTCATTACCATTTTATCTTCTTCATGACACTTACCACCATTTTAAATTTTCTGTTTATTTACTTATTTATTATCTGTCTGCCCCCAAGCCCAATAAAAGGTAAGCTCCATGAATACAGGGACTTTTCTTGTCAAACACAGTATTCCCAGCACTATAACAGTGCCTAGCACATGGTCAAAAGAGGGGGAGGTGCAGTCTTAAAGTATTTCATGGGAAGCATTAAAAATATAAGAGGTATTTGAATACCCTAAAGATTGTCCTTAGAAGTTACCTGGGACTGGCGGGTGGGTGGTCTCGAACCTGATCCTCCACTGTGAGCTGGGATTTCCAGTGGACTCTCTGAAAAGCGAAGATCTTTCAAAGTTTTAGGGTCAGTTCTTTCACCTCCCTGGAGGTCTACAATGATATTAAAAACATCACTCTTTGAGCATCTGTAATTATACATAATCATGCAAAGATGTCTTCACAGTGGGAAACCTTTTAATAAAGAACCACTGTTACCACATTGCTTTCCTAGAAGTAATAATTATGTAAAGAGCTCCCGCCACACACTCAATGTATTAGAAGTGAGAAAGAAAAAACAAGCCCAGACTGAGAAGATTGTCTTCCCCGCTGCATTCTATAATAGTCCACATCAGGCTTGGAAAACGGACAGATCAATCCAGTTGCAAAGTTAGCAGGAAATAGTATATCTCCCAAGAACACACTGCAGCTGTAAAATGTCGTTAACAGCCCCCTCTTTGCATGACTAGTCTTTCTTACTCACTGAGAAACCCTGTTCTCTAAAATCACAGATTATCAGAAACTTCGCTGTTTGAAATTCTCAGTAAGAATGAAACATCTAACTCTTGCCTGAGGAATCTAGGCCACTTTGCCATAGAGAAGCAGCCTCCATGTCCAACCCTGGTGCAAAGATAATCATTTCTGAACACAGTATTCCCCGTGTATCTTTGTAATTTCCAAGGCAACAGAACCCTGGGTTCCCTTCCCAGTCAATACCTGATGCTGATCCCTTCACACCCAGACCAGCTTCGCTTTGAGCCTATCAAAACTCTGCTTTCATTTATATTTCACCCAAACTCCACCCTTCCCCCAAACTCTATAACTCCAGTGTCTCCTCTGTTTTGGTGAGATGCCCCCATGGCTCCCTGTGGTGGGTCAAGAAATCTGACTTGGTTGGACTGCTTGATCCTCCTTCATGATCTTAAGCTGTTAGCAAGGACGGTATAAAAACTCAAAGTACAGCATATTTTCCTGCCCCAGTGTTTCTTATTCCAGCACTTCTCCAGACAAGAAAACATGCAGTGAACATGCCACGAACCTCTTTGGTGGGTTCAGAATACAAAACCTTGTTTTTGTTCTGTCACATCATACCTGGAAACTTTCTGAGGTTAACATTCCAGCTGCGTTGATTTTCAGAGTTCTGATATTTCTTCTTTAGTTTTGATCCAACAAATCCATTTTTGAATTCCTAAGAATGAAGAGACTGCATATCACTCACTTGGTTATTCCCATGTGAGAATTAAAGCTGCACGATAGAGACAGGGTCATGGTGTGCATTTCTTATTTGAAAGAGTTTATGGTTGTTTTCACGAAGTAATCCCTGTTTCACTTTATTCTGGAAACACGCAGCTTTGTATCTGGGCTGGGCTGCTCAGTTGGCAGCACGTCTGGATGTAGGCCTCACCAGGTGAAGTGGCCAAGGCAGGAGGCAGGGAGCAGCACATGCAGGCAGGATACTACAACTGTAGGAGTCTGGGTAACAACAGAGGGACCACCAAGTCCAGAGTGGCAAAGGCAGGGTAGGGTCAGACCAAAATCAGACTTCTGTACACGACCTGCGCACACACAGTCCTTAAACACTCTTCTCTCTGGACTTTCTCCACGGACTTGGTCCCTCACACCTGATTCAAGCCTAAGCACCTGCTGATATATGTGGGCTCAGCCCCCGCAGGTAGCCCCTGCCCAGTGTAGATCCTTGCCTTGATCACACTTGAGCCCAACCCATGCCTGCATCCACTGCTTGGTCCTACAACCTCCTCTCCAGCCTCAGGTTTATGGTCAAGCTTAAGCGAAACCCCTATAAACTTCCTCTGTCAATCCCAACAACATCCCTGTGACCAAGACCTCTGGGTTGGCTGCCTTACTGTAGGCTAGCCCATTCTCTGGCCTAGCTCCTTGAATGTTTCTCATTGATACTCACACCCAGTGCCTGAAGCTTCACACATCCTTCTCAGATGGATCTAATTGACTTTTCACAGTGGGGAGGCTTTGCAGATATTTGGGAATAAAGATTTCAACATAAAAGAATTCTATGCCCACTGAGGACTTCTACTTACCCAATGCATCTATTCAACAGCTACACAATCACCACCCTCTCCTACCTGCCCTGTGCAAGGCAATGAGTATAGCAATCATGCCACCTTGGAGCTTATAATGCATAGGCAAGATAAACAAGGAACAAAGTAATCACATGCGCAAAGCAGTTTATAAAAGAAGGCCTGGGTGCCAGGATAGCAGTGATAGGGCATAGCATACACAGTTCAGTTTCGTTGGAGTATATGTAGGGGGTTCACAGACAAAGCAGGAAAGGCCAACCAAGGGCAGAAACTGATGACTTGGATGGAAGGCTAAAGGTTTCTGGTTTTTTCAGTAGGTAAGAGAGAGCCACTGAAGACGCTGGAGCATGGACCCCAGTGCTCAGCAGGTATTCTCATCTTCAGGGTAGATAGAAGACTGACGAAAGGCTGAGAAATCAGTGAAGATGCTTTGCAATGGTTGATAATGACTTCAATTATAAGGATCTGACTATCAGCAGAGGTAAGGTAACAAAAGGCAAGATCTGCTCACTGAGAAAGAAGGAACCAAAATACAGTGACAATCTGAATGGATGATGGTTTCATTACTTGCCTGCCTTGAAGAATCTTTGAGAACATTTTCAACATTGTCTTCAGGAGAGACTACATTCGGTGGTTCATAGCCTACCTGAAACACCTTTGTCACAATGCCACTCTGTCTGCAGTCTCTGAAAATTATTATTAAAAAAGAAAAAAGTCTGTGTTACACAAAGATTCAAAAAAAAGTGGCTAACAATTAAGATGATTTTATTAAAGTACCTTAGTCTAGCTACTAAATTTATTGCATTTCAAATTGAAGAAATCAAATGTAATTTCTATAGTCTTTCCTTACTTACATCCTTTTGGGTTATTTACTGCTGTGTAACAAACCACCCCAAAGGTAGTGCCTTAAAACATGGATCTATGGATTCACGGTCTCCACTGAGTAGGTCTCATCTGAACTCTTTCATGTGGCTGCCATCAGACATCAGCAAGGGCTGGAGTCAACTGAAGGCTCAACTGGGCTGGGTGTCCAAAACGACTTCTCTCAAATATGCAAAGCCTGGGCTGGGGTAACTGGAAGAGCTAGGGGCTCACCACTCATCGCTCTCACTCAATCTCCATCTCTCTGTCCCTCCCTCTCTCTCCCACGTGGTTAGCTCGGGCTTCCTCACAGTATGGAAGACTCACGTAGTCAGATTTCCTCCACAGTACCTGGCTACCCCAATCCCCTGCTAGTGTTTTTGTCCTGAGAAACCAAAGCAGAAACTACAATACTTCTTGTGATCTCAGAAGTGCTTGGCATCATTTCTGAAACATTCTATTGGTCAAAAGTAAGTCACAATGCCAGCAAAGGCTACAAAAGGGCATAAATACTGGGAGGCATAGTTCATCATGGGCCATTTTTGAAGGCTATCTACCACATTCATCATAAAGATATCAGACCATAAGCCTCAAACTATTCTAAAACAAAAAATGTGTTACCTAGGTCATCCCACATGAATCAAGAGCATTTTCCCTGTCTCAGCTGTAAGCAGTGTAATATATGCTGCGCTGGTAGATTCTGTAACTTAAATACTATCATGTTTTCCATTCATTCATAATATTTCACAATTCATCTTGTTCTCTGATGCAATAAGAATTTCATGAGAAGACAATGTAGCAGTGCCCATGACTAAAAACTAGTGGTGATTTTATTTCAGTACCAGTAGCTCACCTATACTCTACTTTTTAACAGCTTTATTGAGGTATAATTTACATGACACAAAATTCATCTATTTTAAGCAACTGGTTCAATGGGACTCAGTCAGTGTAGACAACTGTGCGAATATCAGCACAGTGGAAATGTTTAGGACATTTCCATTATCCAAAATAATTCCCTTGTGCCTGTGTGCAGTCACTCCTCGCTACCACCACCTATCTTAGGCAACCACTGATCTGTTTCCTATCTCTATAGTTTTGTCTTTTCTAGAAATTTAACATAAATGTAATCATACATATGCAGTCATCTTACGTGTCTGGATTTTTTATTTATCTCTTTTTTTGGAGGCTCATCCATGTTGTTGTAACTCACTCATTGTTATTGTTGAGTAGTATTCCATTTTATAGATATATCACGATTTTTATGTCCATTTCCCAGTTGATGGTCATTTGGATTATTTCTGGGTTTGGGTTATTATGGATAATGCTGCTATGAACATTCACACATAAGTCTTTATGTGGACATGTTCTCATTTCTCTTCAATAGATACCGAGGAGTGGAATTGCTGGGTCACATGGCAGGTATGTGTTTAATTTTCAGAAACTGCCAAACTGTGGCTGTTCCATTTTACATTCCCACCAACATTAGCTGAGGGTTCCAGCTTCTCCACATACTTGCTGACACTTGATATTGTCAGCCTTGTTGATGACCTGTACTCTCAATCATGTTCTCTGTAGGTATTTGCTTGATATGTGTCCCTTGTCTATCAAGATATAGGCTTGGCTGTTGTAACACAGAATCAAAACAATAGTGTCTTTAAGGCAGGACACGGTGGCTCACTCCTGTAATCCCAGCACTTTGGGAGGCCAAGGCAGGTGAATCACTTGAGGCCAGGAGTTCAGGACCAGTCTGGCCAACAGAGCAAAACCCTGTCTCTACCAAAAGTACAAAAATTTAGCTGGCTGTGGTGGCACACACCTGTAATCCCAGCTACTCAGGAAGCTGAGGCACAAGAATTGCTTGAACCCAGGGGGCGGAGGTTGCAGTGACCCAAGACCACACCACTCCACTCCAGTCTGGGTGACACAGCAAGACCCTGTCTCAAAAAATAAACGAACGAACAAACAAACTAACAAATAGAGGTTTAAACAAGACAGAAGTCATAGGGTATAAGCAGTCTAGAGCTGGTATAGGGGTGTCATGGTGACAGGAACATGATATCAAGTTTCTACCTTGTTACTCCATCATTTCTATGACATTGCATTTATCCTCATGGCCCAACCTGACTGACCAACCACATCTACATTCCAGCCAATTGGAAGCAAAGCTCACCCTTTCTCTTTAAAGGTACAATCTTAAAGTTGAACACATCACTTGTACGTGTATCCACTGGCCACAGCCCGGTACACATCTCTAACTAGGGCAACAGGGATTGGGAAGTATCTTCAAGGCAACCACGTGCCTGGCTAAAAATCATGGGCCCTATTATTAAAGGGAAAAACAGATATTGGGGGACATCCAGCAGCCTCTCCCACATCATCATGACCACGCTTGGCATATTTATTTGATGTTTTTAACTCTCACCCCTCCTCATTTGCATTGAAAGCTCACCTTTCCCGTGTTATCCTTTCTCTGTGATTACAGCTCACTGGTTACCACAGCCCGTGTTTCTATTTGCTCTGGCCAGACTCTTGATACTTTTTATATTTCCAATTATCTTTTTTCTTCAGGGTTTTTTGTCTGCTTTGCCCTTACTCATTTTCATACTGATCTTTAATACATATTGTCTGTTTCATTAGCATTTCTTCAGCAACTGCTCAGATTTCTTACATGCTCAATTTTTATATTTCTTAAAATTTTTGAACCTTTAAGTAAATAAGTATCCCTGGATCTTAGAGGGGAAGATTTATGAATCTGTAAATCTGGTTTTATTATTTTTTTTTTAAAGAAGAGATTTAAACAGGGAAATTTAGCCACCTATGAGTCACTCCAGCCAGTGAACATGCGAGTGTCTTCTGATCACAGAAAGCTGAGACATTATTTCTAAATACTGTCACTCACAGATAGGTAGTGACTATTTAGACGAATTGTATATTTCTTAGAATTTTTTTCTCCATCTTCTAGAAAGGTAGCTTAAAACTTCTACGTTGTTTAATGTTAAAGAGATTCACAAATCTGGTTACAGATATAGATGATCTTTTACATGAATCACTTGCTTAACTCATTCGCCTCGGCATCCATCTCGTCTGCATGTTAACCTTCGGCCCCAGGCCTGTCATCCAAGATCCAATTGTCCTTCCTGTTAGCACACACTTCGCAGACATCACAAGCCTCTCCATCCAGGAATCACTTGAATCTTGGATGGTCGGGAGGCTCCCAGAATGCACACTTACAACCCCACATGAGGTCACATGAGTAGAGGCCTGGCTCTTATCCACTTATTCCACCCTCTAAGATCCAGGCTGTTTCCCCCACCCCAGCTGGCCCTTCCTTGGGGAACCAGCTAAGGCATTCACCTTTTGAGCTGAAAATTCAAATGTTTTTTATATAAATATATAAATTTTTTATATAAATATATAAATATTTTCCCTAAGCTGAGCACATCTGAAATACGTTAGTACTGTTAAGTACCTTTCAGAATAGACACTTAGAGGGCACAGAGCAGAACGGTGAGAGGCATAAAGAATGACCTTATTTTTTACTCTCTCTCGAAAGCCTTATTAACTCCTTCAAACTGCATAGTCAGTCATTAAATTGCTTCTTCATTTTACTACTACTTGTAGCTTCTAAGGAGGCCTGCCTTACAGCATTTGGCCACCAGAGTGTTTAGCTTCTTAATTTTTTTATTATTATTATTATACTTTTAAGTTCTAGGGTACATGTGCACAACGTGCAGGTTTGTTACATATGTATATATGTGCCATGTTGGTGTGCTGTACCCATTAACTCGTCATTTACATTAGGTATATCTCCTAATGCTATCCCTGCCCCCTCCCCCCTCCCCACAATAGGCCCCGGTGTGTGATGCTCCCCTTCCCGTGTCCAAGTAATCTCATTGTTCAGTTCCCACCTATGAGTGAGAACATGCAGTGTTTGGTTTTCTGTTCTTGCGATAGTTTGCTGAGAATGATGGTTTCCAGCTGCATCCATGTCCCTACAAAGGACACGAACTCATCCTTTTTTATGGCTGCATAATATTCCATGGTGTATATGTGCCACATTTTCTTAATCCAGTCTGTCACTGATGGACATTCGGGTTGATTCCAAATCTTTGCTATTGTGAATAGTGCTGCAATAAACATACGTGTTCATGTGTCTTTATAGCAGCATGATTTATAATCCTTTGGGTATATACCCAGTAATGGGATGGCTGGGTCAAATGGTATTTCTAGTTCTAGATCCTTGAGGAATCGCCACACTGTTTTCCACAATGGTTGAACTAGTTTACATTCCCACCAACGGTGTAAAAGTGTTCCTATTTCTCCACATCCACTCCAGCACCTGTTGTTTCATGCTCATCATCAGAGAAATGCAAATCAAAACCACAATGAGATACCACCTCACACCAGTTAGAATGGCAATCATTAAAAAGCTTCTTAATTTTTAATAATTGAGATGACTTACCTTGATAGAAGTGGCTTGGCAAGTGAGAAAAAGCTACATGTTCCAACATTTTATAAAGAATAATAACGTGCACATACTCCATTTGCAGAACCCATTTAAAAACAATAATAATGTGCATAAAGGGATTGTTTTGTTTCATTGTATTTGTTTTAATTTTCAGATGCCAAAGCAATCATGTTTGCTGTGGAATGTGTAGCTCTCCTCAAAAAGCCATGCAGTAATTCAGTCAGTGGGGTCTGGGGCTAGAGTCTTTTCAAAGTAACAGGGCTAGCCCGGTACTGTATTTAGTTTGGGGCTTTTTTTTTTTTTTTTGAGACAGAGTGTCGCTCTGTCACCCAGGCTGGATGCAGTGGTGCGATCTCAGCTCACTGCAACCTCTGCCTCCTGGGTTCATGCCATTCTCCTGCCTCAGCCTCCCAAGTAGCTGGGACTACAGGCGCCCGCCACCACGCCCAGCTAATTTTTTTGTATTTTTAGTAGAGACGGGGTTTCACCATGTTAGCCAGGATGGTCTCGATCTCCTGACCTCGTGATCCGCCCGCCTCGGCCTCCCAAAGTGCTGGGATTACAGGGGTGAGCCACTATGCCCGGCCAGTTTGGGGCTTTTAAATGTTCCCAAAATATGGTCAAACCTGCATTGCTAGAAAAATAATTCCTATATCACAACCACACAGAATTGCCAAGCATTTGAGTTTTTTTTTTTTTTTTCCTATCACACATGGTGAAGGTTTCCAAATTAAATAGTGTTTCTATATTTGAAAATGGGAAAAAGTCATTAAGAAAAAAAGGATAAAGAAAAAAGTATGGTAGCTAATATCCAACAAGTTGAAATGACAGTAGCTTTGAAGGCCAATTAAGTCGATACAAAATGAAATTGAGAATGATGGCGGTGGTTGTAGGCTGCATCCTGGGGAATGAAAGACGCACTCTGTGAACACAGTATTTCCTTCAGAGCCACATGGAGCTCTTCAGAGGCCCCCAGTCCTGGAAAGGATCTTCCTTCCTGAAACCTCAATGTGGAATTTAAAATAAAAACAGTATTCATATACATAACGCTTCGCTGAGCTGTCTACTTATGATTTCTGCATCTTACAGTATGCCTCAAGGAAACGCAAGTAAAACACAAATATTACGTATGTAAGCCGAAATTAAAATAACATTTCAGTAGTGTCCTTCTAATGCAGCACTGATTCTGATAGGAAAAAATGAATAAAATTAGAATATAATGTTATTATATCATAAATTAATTTAATCACCATGCTCTTAACTTACTTGGAGACAGCAATAGCTTTAATTTGTATTTTTCCATCAGGCAGAGTAATAGGTTTTATATACTTAAATGTGTTATTTTCCCCATAGCCAGTTCTCTTTAGAAATTCAGGTTTGCTGCCATCCAGAGTATAATATATGTTGACATCTGGAGTGTCTGAAAAATCCAAAACAGGATAACTATAATTAACACCAAAGTAGCAAGTCCCTGAATAATGCCTACAGGTCAGTTTAAGATTTGAGATTTGCCGGGCGCGGTGGCTCACACCTGTAACCCCAGCACTTTGGGAGGCCGAGGCAAGCAGATCACGAGGTCAGGAGATCAAAACCATCCTGGCTAACATGGTGAAACCCCATCTCTACTAAAAATACAAAAAGTTAGCCAGGCATGCTGGCAGGCGTCTGTAGTCCCAGCTACTGGGGAGACTGAGGCAGGAGAATGGGGTGAAGCCGGGGGTCGGAGCTTGCAGTGAGCCGAGATCCTGCTACTGCACTCCAGCCTGGGGGACAGAGCGAGACTCTGTCTCAAAAAAAAAAAAAAAAAAAAAATTTAAGTGTGTGATTTAAGATTTAAAGTTGTGATTTAAGTTCAGATTTAAAGTTATGATTTAAGATTGCATTAATCAACTTAAATAACTGACCTATAGGTTATTATATACACATAATGGAAATGAATAGTAGTAGCAATAATGCAGTTCTTTCTCTGTACCAGAACTGTGCTTTACATGAATGAGCTCATTTCATCTGTACAACCCTATGAGGTAGATCCTATTTTACACCCATTTTATAGATGAGGTAACTGAGTCCCAGAGAGATTAATAAAGTTGCTAAATAATAGAGGAGTTGTGATTTGACTTCTGCTAGGTTGGATACACAGCCCATGCTGTTGAACCACTGTGCTCTTTTGCCTCTCCAACAGGGCACTGATACAAACAAGGATTCAAGATTCAACAGGTCAAAAAGGGTATACAGTGAAAAGTCTCGCCTGACCTGTGACACCAGCTTCCCAGAGACTATCAATGGGATCTTGAGTAACCTTCAAAAATATTTTATATCCATACAAGCATTTATGTACATATTCTTATTTTCCCCTCTTTTGCCACAAATGATGGCATACTATACCCTGTTCTACACAGTTCTTTTTTCATTTATCAATATGTCTGCTATTGGTACATAAAGAGCTTCCTAGGAAATAAACAGCAATTTTTTTAAAAAAAGAGCTTCTGCATTCTTTGTTATGGCTGCACCACATTCTCTTATATAGATAAACAATAATTTAACCAATTCCCTACAGATGGATCTTTAGGCTGCCTTCTTTTTTCCTTTTCTTTGTTTCTTTTGCAGTTATAAGCACTGTAAGAATAATTTTGTAAAGAATTATTTCTGTAAATATATGGGTAAGACAAATATGTAAAACGAATACTGCTGAGTCAAAAATATATGCATTTGTAATCTTTTTTTTTTTTTTTTTTTTTTTGAGACAGAGTTTCACTCTTGTTGCCCGGGCTGGAGTGCAGTGGTGCGATTTCAGCTCACTGCAATCTCTGCCTCCTGAGTTCAAGCGATTGTCCTGCCTGAGCCTCCTGAGTAGCTGGGATTACAGGTGCCCACCACCATGCCCAGCTAATTTTTGTATTTTTAGTAGAGACAGGGTTTTGCCATGTTGGCCAGGGTGGTCTCGAATTCTTGACTTCAGGTGATCTGTCTGTCTCGGCCTCCCAAAGTGCTGGGATTACAGGCATCAGCCACTGTGCTCTGCCAGCATTTGTAATCTTTTTTTCCTTTCTTTCTTTTTTGAGATGGAGTCTCGCTCTGTCACCCAGACTGGAATGCAGTGGTGCAATCTCGGCTCTCTGCAAGCTCTGCCTCCCAGTTTCACTCTATTCTCCTGCGTCAGTCTCCCAAGTAGCTGGGACTACAGGTGCCCGCCAACACGCCCAGCTAATTTTTTGTATTTTTAGTAGAGACGGGGTTTCACCGTGTTAGCCAGGATGGTCTCGATCTCCTGACCTCATGATCCGCCTGTCTTGGCCTCCCAAAGTGCTGGGATTACAGGCGTGAGCCATCATGCCTGGTCGCATTTGTAATCTTGATTAATATTTCCAAACTGCCCTCCGTGGATGGTTAAGCAATTTACACTGCCATCAGCAATGCATGAAAGTACTTATTTGACCACAATCTTCCTCATATAGTGTGTTACCCAGTTTTCTTTTAGTTTTCCTAATTTCCTAGGTTAAAAAAATACTATCCTGTAACTCATCTTTCTTGCATTTTGAGTAAAACTCACTAATTCATTGCAACAAATGTTTGCTGAGTACCTATTATGTACCAGACATGGTGCTAGGTATAGGGGATATGCAAAAGTATATTCGAGGGTCTCCTTGCATATCCCCTGTACCTAGAATGGTCCCTGTTCTCATGGAGATTATGTTTCAGGAAGGACACTGAAACAGTAAATAAACAAGGAAATACAGTTTATCAGGTGGTGATTAAGAGCTTGGAATAGGTGAAGCAGGGATAAGGTCTGCTCAGCAAGCAGCTGAAGGGGTAGGGAGAAGGGTGAGGAGAAGAAACATTTTCCTACGTTTAAGAGACCTTTATATTTCCTTTCCTACAAAATGTCTTTTAATCACTACTCAAAAGAAGATACACGAGTGGCCAACACACTCATGAAAAAATGCTCGTCATCACTAATCATCAAAGAGATGCAAATCAAAACCACCATGAGACACTATCTCACACCGGTCAGAATGGTTTTTGTTAAAAAGTCAAAAACTAACAGATGTTGGTGAGGTTGCAGAGAAAACAGACACTTACATGCTGTTGGTGCAAATGTAAATTAATTCAGCAACTGTGGAAAGCAGCTTGGAAATTTCTCAAAGAAATAAGAGTTGAGGCTGGGTGCTGTGGTTCACACCTGTAATCTCAGTACTTTGGGAGGCCCAGGCAGGCAGATTAAACATACACAAATTAGCTGGGCGTAGTGGCACACGACTGTAATCCCAGCTGCTCTGAAGACTGAGGCATGAAAATCACTTGAACCCGGGAGGCAGAGGTTTCAGTGATCCAAGATTGCATCACTGTACTCCAGCCTGGGTGACAGAGTAAGACTCGGTCTCAAAATAAAAAATAAAAAATAAAAAAAAGAAGAGTTGAAATACCATTCAACCTAGCAATCCCATTACTGGGTATGTACCCAAAGGAAAATAAATTGTTCTACCAAAAGGACACATGCACCCATATGTTCGTCACAGCACTATTCACAATAGCAAAGACATGAAACCAACCTAGGTGCCCACGAATGGTGAAATGGAGAAAGAAAATGTGGTACATACACACCATGGAATGCTATGCAGTGACAAAAAATAATGAAATCATGTCGTTTGCAGCAACATGGATGCCGTTGGAGGTCATAATCCTAAGTGAATTAACACAGGAACAGAAAACAAAATACCATGTGTTCTCACTTATAAATGGGAGCTAAACATTAGGTACAAATGGACATGAAGATGGTAACAATAGGCTGGGCGCGGTGGCTCATGCCTGTAATTCCAGCACTTTGGGAGGCCGAGGCGGGCGGATCAGGAGGTCAGGAGATCGAGACCATCCTGGCTAACACAGTGAAACCCTGTCTCTACTAAAAATACAAAAAATTAGCCGGGCGTGGTGGTGGGCGCCTGTAGTCCCAGCTACTGGGGAGGCTGAGGCAGGAGAATGGCGTGAACCCGGGAGGCGGAGCTTGCAGTGAGCCGAGATCGCGCCACTGCACTCTAGCCTGGGCAACAGAGTGAGAGTCTGTCTCAAAAAAAAAAAAAAAAAAAAAAAAAAAAAAAAAAAAACAAAAAAAGATGGTAACAATAGACACTGGGGACTACTAGAGGGTGGGGAGGGCTGAAAACCTACAACGATGCTCACTGCCTGGGTCATGGGCTCAATCATACCCCAAACCTCAGCACCACACAATATACCCAGGTAGGAAACCTGCACATGTACCCCCGGTACTAAAATAAAAGTTGTAAAAGGAAAAACAAAACAAGGTCTTTTCATGTCCTTTGCCCATTTTTCTTTTGGGTTATTGTTCTTTTTGTTACTGAATTGTGAAAACTATTTATTTGATATTTACGTATCAGGGGATTTTGATACCCTATCATTCATATCATCTTTTGTCAATAATCACCCAACTTCTCCTAAGAATTATGAGCACATATATTAAAATGTTTAATTTGGTTTGACAGTTTAAAAAATTGTATCAGTTTTTAAGCTAAAGGAGAACACAGAAAATAATACATATTCTTAGTCAGAACTCTTGGTCTAAGCAGCATGGGGCCATACCATAAATGCAGATAGTTTCTATATATTTCAGTTATTAAAATACATAATTGGTTAAAAGGCAAAAATTGTAATTTCAAAGTCTTTTTTACACAAATATTTGTGCATATGTTTTACCTATAAAACTTTCCTTCCTTATGATAATTATATATGTGTATGTGTATATATGTATATGTGTACATATACACACATATTTAAGAATTTGAAGAATAAATGTTGGCAGGATATACATTCATTTCTTTCTTTCTTTCTCTCTTTCTTTCTTCTTTCAGATGGAGTCTTGCTCTGTCACCTAGGCTAGAGTATAGTGGCGCAATCTTGGCTCACTGCAACCTCCGCCTCCTGGGTTCAAGCGATTTTCCTGCCTCAGCCTCCCGAGTAGCTGGGATTACAGGCATTGGCCACCATGCCTGGCTAATTTTGTATTTTTAGTAGAGACAGGGTTTCAGCATTTTGGTCAGACTAGTCTCGAGCTCCTGACCTCAGGTGATCCACTCGCCTTGGCCTCCCAAAGTGCTGGGATTACAGGCATGAGCCGCCTCGCCTGGCCCTCACTGCTTTATTTCTGTAATTACAGTTGAGATTTATTCTGGCATTACTACATGCCAAACCCTGTGCACCTCATACATACACAAACCTATTTATCCTCACAATGGCTCTAAGAAGTATGTATTATTATTCGTGTCTTACAGTGAGGAAACTGAGACTCGAAAAGACTAAGTAATGTACCCAAGGTCACTAGAAGTTGTCAAGGCAGGGATTAAGTCTCCAACCTGTCTGACTGGAAAGCCTGTATTAGCAGGTCAAATTTATTATGCCAGCTAAATAATGAGCATGTTGGAAAACTTTGGGGAAGCACCGGGAAATTTTTCTTTTTTTTTTTTTATTTGAGACGGAGTCTCGTCTCGCTCTGTTGACCAGGCTGGAGTGCACTGGTGCGATCTTGGCTCACTGCAACCTCCACCGCCCAGGTGCAAGTGATTCTCCTGCCTCTGCCTCCTGAGTTGCTGGGATTACAGGAGCCTACCACCATATCTGGCTAATTTTTGTATTTTTAGTGAGACAGAGTTTTGCCATGTTGGCCAGGCTGGTCTTGAACTCCTGACCTCAGGTGATCCACCTGCCTCGGCCTGCCAAAGTGCTGAGATTACAGGCATGAACCACTGTCCCTGGCCAGTACCAGGATATCTTACTTTGGCTAAGGTAAGTCAAGACATTGCTGAAACTATACAAATGAAAGGTTGGTCAAAGCTAACCATTTTAATCTAAATGTATACCACTCTATAAACCATCAATGTACAGCACTGTTTCAAATTTTAGAAGTTTTACAAATTTCCCAAAGAGCTGAGCAAAGAGTGAGAAAGCATGCAATGAGATAAACCAGCAACCAGATAAACACAAGAAATATGACAATGTTATTTTAAACAATTTCAAACATATGTGATTCTTACCTGATTTCATTTCTAAAAGTGTATTGTTATCAATTTCATGGTTAGCTTTTCCAGGCTGAGGCACTCGTAGTGGTATGATCTGAGGGACACACACTGAACCAGCAGTCATTTTCTCTCCTTATACATAGAAAAAAAATAAATTCCACTGTGCACTTATAGCTGTACACAAAAGTTGAAGAGAAGCACTTAATTTAAATGCAGCAAAACTAGTTCAAACAAAAGAGAATACTGTTAACATGGCACTACAAATATTATTCCCTTTTTAATTGAAATAATATTTACATTATGGCTGTATTTGCTGTTGAAGTCTTGTGTGGGGTTTCGATTATCTAAATACCTCACTTCCAAGAAAGGAGCATGAATCAGGAGACCGGGGAAAGAAGTTACTTTAAAAGGGTAAATTAAATGAGTAAGGAAAACAGAGACTATCACTAATGCTTTTACTTGAGTTCCCTCTAAATCATTCTCGCCTTTTCCTACCTTTGGTGTGTGTCACCTCTCTTGGCTTCAGGGCAAGTCGTCATACAAGGGGAACCAAAGTAACTCTGTGTGTACCACAAAACGTTAGTCAGAGCTAACTTTTTTGGGAAAGCTCCAAGTTCACAGCCTTGCCACTTTCACCAGAGCAGTTCTAGTACTTGAAAGCTGCAAAGACACTTTAGAAGGACTGCAGAGTATTAGTTGTTAGTGAAAAGGACGTTTGCAAGAATATAAACAGTGACCAATAAACACAAGCCTCCCATTCCATCTACTGTATTTATAAATCCTGGTATTAATAATTAACTACCAGTATGAAAGCCTTACTAGTCTTTTTGGAGGTGAGGGTGGGGAGGAAGGCCGTCATAATTTTTAATGCACAGAAGGTTTCAGGGAGAAAAAACGCTCTCCTTAACACAGCAACCATTTACACCTCTGTATTGTCTTTTCAAATTTCATTAAGAATCCACAGATTTTGCTCAATTATAATCTACATATTCATTCCATTTTTATAGTCTACTTCTTGCATTCTCACTGTATTATTTCGTTTTTCATGTACTTATTTATCCATTTGGGGCTGGCCTTTTAGGCTATTTCTAGTTTCTTTTTAGTTTTGCCTGCTGCTGTTCCTTTTTTTTTTTTTTGAGACAGAGTCTCTCTTTGTCGCCCAGGCTGGAGTGCAGGGGCGCGATCTCGACTCACTGCAAGCTCCGCCTCCCGGGTTCACGCCATTCTCCTGCCTCAGCCTCCCGAGTAGCTGGGACTACAGGCGCCCGCCACTACGCCCGGCTAATTTTTTTTTTTTTTTTTTTTTGTATTTTTAGTATAGACGGGGTTTCACCGTGCTAGCCAGGATGGTCTCGATTTCCCGACCTCGTGATCCGCCCGCCTCGGCTTCCCAAAGTGCTGGGATTACAGGCGTGAGCCACCGTGCCCGGCCGCCTGCTGCAGTTCTAATAATGCTGATCTGAACATCTCTGCAGTTTGAGCTTTGTCACAGACTGTATTTTCAAAAGTGGGGTAACTAATTTAAGGGGTGAACTTAATGCCTCGTTGGATAGTTCCAGATCGAGGGCCAAGAATATAAACTGCAGATATTACAGCACAGCAATAGCTCCTACAGGAGTGTAGCTGGACTTGAGACTTGCCTATAGTCGCACTTCCATTCAAGTGAAAGGCAGATAAAATAAAAATAGTTGAAAAATTAATTCTAAATAAAAAATATGTAGGAGAGGAGGTAATTCGCGAGCATCAACTAGCAGCTGCCCTTACGAAGCTGGGGTGGCCAGTGGGCCCCACGCAAAGGGAATCAAGAAAAAGGCGGATCCGCCAGGCCCAAATGGCAACGTGCAGCAGTCAACAGGATCCCCAGACCCCTCAACTCTCCCAAAGTGGACCGTCCCCTCGCAACCCGGATCCGGAACCCCGTTTGGTTGTCCCCGCCCGTCAGGGGCTGCCAAGGACACCTGCATCCTTTCGGCTGGAGTAAGGCAAGCTCTTCCCCTCCTCTAGCCGCCCTCCTCTTCCTCTAACCGGGGGACCTGGGATAGGGACCCCTAATGCATCTCTGCAGCTCCCAACCCAGTCGCCGGCCTCTCACCGCCTCTTGCCTCCTCCTTCGCCGCCGCCCGGGTTACCACAGACGCTGCGAGCCGCGCCCCGCCGGGCAGATGATTGGCGGCAACGCAGCTTCTTAGCAACTAGCCCCGCCCCTGCCGCACCGCAGGGAGCCTGGTACCCGCCTTGAGCTCCTTTCCCAGGGCTTTCCCATAGGCATCTAAGAATATTCCTTTACAGAGTTGCAAAGTGCTAAAAGTTGGCTTCCCAACTCAGAATGAAGGAACCAAGCTTGTGCGTCCGATGGGCATTGACATTCTGAAAAACAAGGATAAGAAGCTGTAGCGGCGCCTGTTAGTGGACCGGAGCAGGCGTGACTTGGCCACCTCCCGCCGAAAGGCAAGGAAGGACCGCTGCGACACGAGGAAAAAAGCCCCTCGTTCTCCGCTAAGCTCTATCCTCCACTGGTTCCCAGGGTTCTCCCGCTTACTACCCGGCCGCTCCGTGCATCTTTCCCCCAGGCGTCAGGAACTGCTCCCTCATGGCGGAGGTGAAGGTGAAGGTGCAGCCGCCCGACGCGGATCCGGTCGAAATAGAAAACAGGTAAACCAAACAGGTAAACCAGTGAGGCTCCGGCTTCGGACTCCATCAGGCGGCCAGCATTTGGGCAGCCGGACCCCTTCACCCGGATCCCTCGGGAGTGGCCGGAGCGGGTTGGGTGAGCACGCGGGAAAACGATTGCGAGGTTCTGGATCCACTTCTAACCTCCCATCCTGGGAGAGCAGAACTCAAGTAGTTCAAAATGGGCTTGACAGCTTGCAACTTTGTGTAGCTGACTGGCTTTGCCCTGATACTTTTGGGGAAGTTGTGATGATGCGCTGCCTTCCTACTTTGACGTGATCAGTGCTTTGAGAGGAGACCCTCGGCTTTCCTTCCCTTTAGAACACTTGTGAATGCTTGTTCTGATCCAGGATCGCTCTTGTCACGAAGGGAACGTCTATGTCAAAACGTTTAGGCGGAGTTAGGGCGCAGTTGGTGATTACGAAGCAACATTAAGTCAGGTAGTTTCAGTGCAGTATTGAACTCAAGACTTTTAGGATACCCAAAGCCTCTGCCAGTCTTATTTTTATTTGTTTATTTGTTTGTTTGTTTTTGAGACAGAGTCTCGCTCTGTCGCCAGGCTGGAGTGCAGTGGCAGGATCTCGGCTCACTGTAAGCTCCGCCTCCCTGCAACGTCCGCCTCCTGGGTTCAAGCGATTCCCCTGCCTCAGCTTCCCGAGTAGCTGGGACTACAGGCGCGCACCACCACGCCCAGCTAATTTTTTGTAGTTTAGTAGAGACGGTGTTTCACCATGTTGTCCAGGATGGTCTCGATCTCCTGACCTCGTGATCCGCCCGCCTCGGCCTTCCAAAGTGCTGGGATTACAGGCGTGAGCCACCACCGCCTTTTATATTTTTTACCGAGGCACTGCCACTCTTAGATTATCACGTACTTTTAAAAGACGTAACTTTCTCAAACTGTTAGGAATAATACATTTGTTGATGTTGACTAGGTGAAGATTTTGACCTATTTCGTTTGGTAGATATAATTCCCAAAACAGGCCCCATTTTGGTGAATTGTCATAAATTTTGGCTTCCCACCAGAAACGTCTGCATTTGCCTCCTGCTTGCAGATTTATGGCTTAACTTTGTCATACTTATTACACCTGAGAAAATTGAAGTCTCAGCTTTAATATTATTTCTGTGATTTCATTAGACTTTTGCTCTAATTTAAAGTTATTAGTGAGGAAAAGAAATATTCTTCCTAAATAACAATAATACTGTAATCATGTATTTAGAAATCATCTTCTTCAGTGTCTAAAATGCTTTGATCCAAAACCATCGCAGAAACCCAGATTGTCTTCCAAATGTGAAAAAGGCATAATTTCAAACTATTTTACTTGTGTTTTTACCCCTACTGTCTCTTGAAACAGGTAACCATGAAGGATAACATTAATACCCTTGTTTCTAGGATTATAGAATTATGTCACCAGTTCCCTCATGGAATCACAGACCAAGTAATTCAGAATGAAATGCCCCATATAGAGGCCCAGCAGCGGGCAGTAGCCATCAATAGGTTGTTGTCTATGGTAAGGTGAATCTAACTATTTTGCATAATTACTGATATGCTGATTATCATTGGTTGTTATTATGTAGTTGTGATGGTTAATTTCATGTCAACTTGACTAAGATACAGGATTCCTAGATATCTAGTTAAACATTTTATTGGAGTGTCTGTGAGGGTGTTTCTGGAAGAGGTTAGCATTTTGAATTGGTGAACCCAGTAAAGTAGATGTGGGTCCAGTGTGGGTGAGCATCATCCAATCCATTCAGGGCCTAAATAGAACAAAGTGGCAGAAGAAGATTGAATTCACTCTTTGAATTCAATCTTGATCTGGGCTATGGATCTTGTGCCCTCAGCACTCCTGGTTCTCAGACCTTCAGACTTGGACTGGCATCTACACTCTGAGCTCTCTGCTGTCAGCCCTTTGATCTCCAACACTAACTTTCCTGGGTCTCCAGCTAGCAGAGGGCAGATTATGGGACTCCTCAGCCTCCATAATCACAGAGCAAATACCTTCTGAGGAATCTTTCAAGAGAGAGATGTATCCTATTGGTTCTGTTTCTCTGGAGAACCCTAATACAGCAGTCATAAAACGAGAAAGTATGTTAGGTTTGACTGATAAGACTCTAAACCAGGAAATACCTCAAACTGCCTGAATTGAAAAAAGAAATAATTATGTGTTATAAGACAAATGAAATAAATGTATTATGTTATAACTGTTGTATTATTAATTGCCACTGCCGTACATAGGTCTAGTCTGTTCTCACCTTCTGTTCACTTCCTACTACTGGTGTTGGACCATTTCCTATAAAATATACCACCCCCTTCCAACCCCCGACTTTTCTGTGAGTTGTCACAGAGCCCAGTCATCAGGGTTTCATTCTCCACATTGTCACTGAGCATTTCAGGAAGCAAGAATGAGTCCAGTTGAACGAAGAATGCTGGGCCTTGGGGAGGAAGTGCAGCCTTAGGCCCCAGTGACATCGCAATGGAATATATCATTGAAGCTATTCTCTAACTGTCCAGAAACAAACAAGCAAGACTGTCTAAAAATCCCCTAGTGGTGCCGGATACTCTAAATCTCTCTTTACTTTCCCTCATCATTAAAACATACTTTTCCTGAGAGCATTTCAGTTTGGCTTTAGTAGCAGTTAGGTTAAAGAGTTCTACGCCAAGGCATCATCTGAATGACTGATTTGTTTTTTAAATCCACTAGCCTTATTGGATCTCCAAGGACTCTGGATGTGGAGATTTGGGGTCAGATGAATCTTTTCTTAAACCTTTCCCGTCAATTTTCTAGCTCAGGAGTTTGCAAGCTTTTTCTATAAAGTGCCAGAGAGTATATGTTGTAGGCTTTGTGAGCCATATGATTTCTTTCACAACTACTCTGTCATTTTAGCAAGAAGCAGCCATGGATGATGATACATAAACAAATGGCTACAGCCATGTTCCAGCAAAACTTTAGTTATAAAAACAAGCTGTGGAGCAGATTGCTGACCCCTGTTCTAGCCCAAGGACAAAGGAATGTTGCTGATTTCTAGTTATTTCACTGTGGCGAAGGTCTTCAGCTCTAGGAAGCATAGAGGAAGGGATTCTGGGAGGTTGTAGCAGTGGAAAAATTCCTTTTTTCCTCTGATCGCCCTTTCAGCTCTTTCCTTCTGACTGAAAATCATCTTCAGCACCTCTGTTTTACCACCTCTGCTACCACCCACCCACTGCGAGTCCTATTGGCTATAGGTTGTATGTAGGCAGTAGTAGAGCTATCAAAGGATATTAAGAAATGAAGTGATAATTAATAAATCATGTAGTGTTTCTGATTTTAGCCCTTAAAAACAGTTCTTAAATTTGCTCTTCACACCCCCTCCATTTCTGTCCCTGGTACCACACTATGTTCAGGCTCATGGCTTTTACCTCGACAGCTGCAGTAGTATCTTAACTGGCTTCCATGACTCCATCAGTCTCAGAGAAGCCAGCCTGATTTGGGATAACAGTCGTGAGCCACTGCCCCTTGCCCCCGAT